TAGTATACCTGACATCAATACAAGATAACATAAGATTATTCAAAGCTATATCTATGCCATTTTAAGATAGCACACACTTAAACCTCCTTTATCAGTTTTTTAATATATTTTCATACGCCCACACGAAATGTTTTGTTTTACCAAATTTCCTGTGGAGTCAAAAGACAATTTTTTCTGAACAGCCTGACTAATAACTATATTACATAGAATGTAACATACCTAACCTCTCTCAAATCTTCTATTGAAATATTAGATATCAGTCAGTACATCAGATATTTTACAAGTCTGATCTCAGCAATCATAAAAAAGTCCTACCCAAAAATGTTCCAATAGGGCAAAATGTGGGATAGGCCCATTAAGAAATATTTTTCAAATTTCTAGAATGCATTATATGAACATCTTATTACATAGACATCAAGCAGGAGCAAACTTGTTGACAACTAGCACATTTAAAATATGAATCAACAAAGATAAACTTTGCACAAATAAAGCAAATCTTTTTTTCATTGCTAAGATACCAATATTAAAGGCCTCGTGCTTTGATAAATGAAAAATTGTTTGACTATCACAAAAGTTGATCATCATCATCCTTGCAACGCCACAAGCTATATAGGTATATATCAGAATGGTAGCATGTAGCAAGAGCACTGTGACTTCAAAAAATATTATGAATAGTGATTGAAATAGTGCTAGGTATTGCTATAAGAGGGTCATGATATGATAGGTAAAGTGATATTATATAATGGGATAGATATTAAAAATTTATCTTCAATGTTTCAATATTTATTAATTGATAACTTTATAACTGTGATATCTGGTAATGTAGTTAAAAGGAGTTGAAAAATCGGTTGCAATTTAAAATGTATCAGTAATAAACCTTTAAATATACAATTTGATTTGATTCGCAAATTGTTTTGATAAATTTTAACGTAGGAAATATTGGATCGCAAAAAAGGTCATTTTGAATCGCAAACTGTGATGCGATACTTTAATTAAACACTGTTTGTGCCAGCGCTTGAATGAAGACAATCTTTTTTTTTGATTGATTTGATTGGTAAATCATGGCATAAATTAAACTATGTACCTTCAGAGATGTAAAGCTGTCTTGACATTGGTTCAATATAATATATGAAATATATAGGTATGGTAAATATCTTGTTAACAGATATACTGATTCACCATCAATACTCAAGTCTTCTATACACTTCTCATCTAACTAAGGAAAAGAGTTAAATTGTTATCAAAACAATATATCCTTACGAGCTTATATTCAAGGTCAGGTCTTGCAAGAGATAATATAATCTTCAACACGCATCTCATTTAGATAAGGAAAATATCAAATTGTTAACCACAATTCTTTATCATTACTGGTTTTAAGCAGAGTAAGTAAGATGCATATCTTCCAGATAGCGCCTCATTTCTATACTATAACTAGCTAGTCAATTTTGTTAGATAGACTACTCTTAATTTAGATAGAATCCAGATTTAAAATGGACATAAAATTTAAAGTCTCATACTTGGTCAATAAAAAAGTTGGACTAACAATGTGCCATGACTAAAGAATAGAATTAGGTTTTCGTGATAGCAAGTCTCATTTTTTAAGCAATTCTCTTACTGTTTAGGTCCACAAGCTTTAAAAATGTTTTTGTAGCTTGTCAAACAATAACGAGTTCTGAAGACTTATTAAATTTCAAACAAACCTGAGCTATAAACTGATTCTGTATAAAATCTGTAGGAGGTTGTGATGTAACAGGTCCTAACCAATTATTCTGGATAAATAATTGTAAACTGGCTGCTCCAACCAACAAAACATCAAACTCTCTGAAAATTTTAATATCTCATCAGTATAAAAAAATGGATTCCCTTAATTTCATTTATGAAAATGAAGATAGCTTGCGTTGCAAGGTAACATACGCCCACTGGCAGCTGTCAGAAATAATAAATCAGTCTTTAGTGACTAAAGTACGAATTTTCTCATATTGAAGAAATTATTTATGCTGAGTAATTCCACAAAATTTTTTAAAATCAATATCAATAACCCAAATACAACAAACAATTAAATCACATAGCTCTAATCAATGGCAAAAAGCAACTTTTGACATGTGTTAACTAAGTCAAGGGCAATAACTAAAAAAATGTTCATAAAAAATAACTCTTGTTAAAACTTGTCCAAGATCTTATCAATTCCAATGATCACACCAAGTTTCATCAGAATCGGTTGAAAACTGTAGCTTCTATTGTGCTCACAAACAAATTTTGACACGTTTTTCGTAAGTTAATAGCATTAATTCAAAAACATTTCATCGAAAATGCGTCAAGTTAGAACTTGTCCGAGATCTTATCAATTTCAATGATCACACCAAGTTTCATCAGAATCGGTTGAAAACTGTAGCTTCTATTGTGCTTACGAACAAATTTTTTACAAAGTCAAGGGCAATAACTCGAAAACCGTTCATCAAAAATGCATCAAGTTAGAACTTGTCCGAGATCTTATCAATTCCAATGATCACAACAAGTTTCATCAGAATCTGTTGAAAACTGAAGCTTCAATCCTGCTCACAAACTATTTTTAACAAATTTTGACGTGTTTTTACATAGTCAAGGGCAATAACTCAAAAACTGTTCATCGAAAATGCGTCAAGTTAGAACTTGTCCGAGATCTTATCAATTCCAATGATCACACCAAGTTTCATCAGAATCGGTTGAAAACTGTAGTTTCAATCCTGCTCACGAACTATTTTTAACAAATTTCGACGCGTTTTAACAAAGTCAAGGGCAATAACTCAAAAACCGTTCATCGAAAATGCGTCAAGTTAGAACTTGTCCGAGATCTTATCAATTCCAATGATCACACCAAGTTTCATCAGAATCGGTTGAAAACTGTAGCTTCAATCCTGCTCATGAACTATTTTTAACAAATTTCAACGCGTTTTAACAAAGTCAAGGGCAATAACTCAAAAACCGTTCATCGAAAATGCGTCAAGTTAGAACTTGTCCGAGATCTTATGAATTCCAAAGATCACAACAAGTTTCATCAGAATCGGTTGAAAACTGTAGCTTCAATCCTGCTCATGAACTATTTTTAACAAATTTCAATGCGTTTTAACAAAGTCAAGGGCAATAACTCAAAAACCGTTCATCGAAAATGCATCATCTTAGAACTTGTCCGAGATCTTATGAATTCCAAAGATCACACCAAGTTTCATCAGAATCGGATGAAAACTGTAGCTTCAATCCTGCTCACAAACAATTTTTAACAAATTTCAAGGCGTTCTAAGTCAAGGGCAATAACTTAAAAACTGTTCATCGAAAATATGTCAAATTCGAACTTGACCGAGATCGTATCAATCTTAAGCATCACACTAAGTTTTATGAAAATCAGATAAAAACTGTAGTCTCTATAGTGCTCACAAGAAATGTTGACGGACGGACCGACGGACAGGGGCGACGACAATATACGACCACATATTCATGTGGGCGTATAAAAACTGTTTATCGAAAATGCGTCAAGTTAGAACTTGTCCGAGATCTTATCAATTCCAATAATCACACCAAGTTTCATCAGAATCGGTTGAAAACTGTAGCTTCAATCCTGCTCACAAACTATTTTTAACAAATTTTGACGTGTTTTTACAAAGTCAAGGGCAATAACTCAAAGACCGTTCATCGAAAATGCGTCAAGTTAGAACTTGTCCGAGATCTTATCAATTCCAATGATTACACCAAGTTTCATCAGAATCGGTTGAAAACTGTAGCTTCAATCCTGCTCACGAACTATTTTTAACAAATTTCAACGCATTTTAACAAAGTCAAGGGCAATAACTCAAAAACCGTTCATCGAAAATGTGTCAAGTTAGAACTTGTCCGAGATCTTATCAATTCCAATGATCACACCAAGTTTCATCAGAATCAGTTGAAAACTGTTAACTACAATCCTGCTCACGAACTAAACTAGTGTCCAAAAGAAACGATACCACCTGTTTGCAACGACATAAAAGAAAAACTAAACAATGCAGAAGTTTAGGATTGGTGTTATGCTTTTGAGAAATCCTTTCACAACATCTGTACAAAAATTTCATTTCAATAAAATCTGTACAACCAATATGACAAGCTATTAAAGATGGGTAGGGTCGAAAAAAGAACATTTCGTTAGAGCACTGATCACAGAAACAACGGGAAATGTCACACCACACGTCACAAAGTCAAGTCAGTAGCGGGTATGTCCACCGTGAGCATCAATACATGCCAGAACACGCCTACATGAATGGCATATGAATCTGGTTAGATTACAATGTAGACTGATACAAATAAGTAATTACAAAATGAAATTCTAATCTTATTTTAATTGGGCACAAACAGCACAATATACATGTATTTCAAATTTTCTACTTACACTTGTTGTTTATTATCTGTAGAACTTAATACACTATCAATATTACATTTCACCATAGAAACCAAATCATCTTTAGTAGAGCTGTTTTCTTTTAAAATTTTCCGTCCGAAATTACTGCCAAGCACATCCTCATAGAGACCTTGCCTAAAATACTTGAGTAGCTGTGATTCCTCTTTGTTGTCACAATCTAAATGTTGTAATGATAGTGAAACAAGGATAATTTTAATCAATACATTTTCCTGTAAAATGATCAATAACTATTTCAAGTCCAGATGTTTCATAACAGTCTATATAACAGAAATATTAATCGTTTCAAAAAGCTGAGGGGATGACAAGCCAGACAGTGGCACAATAGCCTGTAATGAAATTGTAAGAGAAACTCATTAGTCAGCTATGACTAACAGACCTAAAATTCTAATTCGTAAGCGAACGCCCTGCTTTGTTTTCTTATTGATTTTTTTTTTTTTTTTTTTTCGTCTACGGCAGGCCGGTTTTCTCGGCAACTGCAACAGGTACGGGAAAACGGACTTCATGGCGTTTTGTAACTCGTGGCTAATCACAGTTTAAATGTAAAACGAAAATTTTCTGAGCAACATTACGCAAAATTGCAACAAACGGAAAATGGACTCTAGAGGGCGTGTTTATCAACCGATTTTGATCGCGTTTTCTGCATCGTATTTCTTGTAACAAAAGACAAATGATATTAGTTGAAAAATTTTCGATTTTCGAAAATTCGTTCAATACTTTTTTTTGCCGTAATTAATCAGAAAATACAATTTGGTTGTTATTTGGTGGATTGTCTTGAAACTTACATGATGTAGACTGCCAGCATAGTGGAATTAAAGCACACATTTAAAATTTTTATTATCACTTCCGGTTTCGATGTTAGTACTTCCGGTGGTATCACTTCCGGTGAAATTGAGTTATGTCCAAAATAACATATGCACTATAGTACCAGCCTAAATACAAACTTACTAAACTGAAAAAAATCGCACCGGAAGTAACATGTAGGCCGCCATTTTCATTTGCCTCATTTTCCAGAAATTGCTATTCAGAGGCCATTTATCATTCGATTTGTGTATCTTTTGTGTCATACAATACGTTTAATGTCTGTCTACAAAAAATGGGAAGCATAATTTTGAATTTCGGTTTTGCCTTTTTTATACGACCTGATGTTTTTTTTCAGAGTTTGAAGGCTTATAACTCATGACCTTGACCTTTGATGACCTTTATATTGACCATGGTGATAAAGGCTGCCCTTGACCTTCTTGTGACCTTTTGACCTTTGGGGTCTAACAACAACTTCTGATTTTATAGGGGTCTAACTATGGTCTATTTGGCATTTTTGCAGTGCTGTATCTCAAACCCTAATTGACTTAGCGCCATACCACTTTCAGATTATTAATGCACTTAATAAATGGTTTCAATTCATGTGGCATTTGATGATGTCAAAGTCACATTAAAGGAAATGTTGCAATTTCCTTAAAACTTTGAACGCGTCTATCAAAGGAACTTGGCCTCGGATGACGTTGATATTTACATTAATGTTTACTATTGACTTCAGCTTTTACATGATGCTAATATTTTTTGTGTCCAACACGTGGTTTCGGTTTTATGGGTGTCACTTAAAGTTGAGTTTGCATCTTTAAAGCGTCCTCACATGTGCCCTATTAGACGTAGAGCAATAATTCTGTCGAATTCAAAATGCTGAGATCCTGCGCTTTCCAATGATATATAACATGCATGCTTTACATGCAAATTCAATGTCCCATTCACTTAACATGCGGCTATTATTATATAAATCGGCTAATTAGATTAACCTGGCTGTCAACCCCAATAGAAATCAAAGTTTCAGTTGTTTTAAAGATACCCTCTCTTTTATATTATTTTAATAATACATGTTTTACGTCCAGTTATAGTATATGAATAAGCTCCTTGGTGGATTGAACCATGTTATACTGTAAATTGAGCTTACGGAAGCACATAAAAGGGATACCCCCACTTAATTTCCCAACTTTCTTATTTCTTATCCGATTTTCACCAAACTTGGTATGTATGTGTATAATCAAATTCTGAATCGATGCAAATATTGAATTTTTGTTATGCGCATGAGCATTACCAACTTTCTTATTTCTTATCCGAATTTCACCAAACTTGGTATGTATGTGTATAATCGAATTCTGATTTTAATGGAAATATTGAATTTTTGTTGTGCGCATGCGCATTACCAACTTTCTTAATTCTTATCCGAATTTCACCAAACTTGGTATGTATGTGTATAATTCAATTATAAATTCGATGGAAATATTGAATTTTGTTGTGCGCATGCGCATTATCAACTTTCTTATTTCTTATCCGATTTTCACCAAACTTGGTATGTATGTGTATAATCGAATTCTGATTTTGATGGAAATATTGAATTTTTGTTGTGCGCATGCGCATTATCAACTTTCTTATTTCTTATCCGATTTTCACCAAACTTGGTATGTATGTGTATAATCAAATTCTGAATCGATGCAAATATTGAATTTTTGTTATGCGCATGCGCATTACCAACTTTCTTATTTCTTATCCGAATTTCACCAAACTTGGTATGTATGTGTATAATCGAATTCTGATTTTGATGGAAATATTGAATTTGCGTTGTGCGCATGCGCATTACCAACTTTCTTAATTCTTATCCGAATTTCACCAAACTTGGTATGTATGTGTATAATTCAATTATAAATTCGATGGAAATATTGAATTTTGTTGTGCGCATGCGCATTATCAACTTTCTTATTTCTTATCCGATTTTCACCAAACTTGGTATGTATGTGTATAATCGAATTCTGATTTTGATGGAAATATTGAATTTTTGTTGTGTGCATGCGCATTACCAACTTTCTTAATTCTTGTCAGAATTTTATAAATCTTCGTATGTATGTGTATAATCCAATTCTAAATTTAATGAAAATATTGAATTTTTGTTCTGCGCATGCGCATTACCAATTTTCTTATTTCTTATTCGAATTTAATCAAACTTGGTATGTATGTGTATAATCCAATTATAAATTCGATGGAAATAACGAATTTTTGTTGTGCGCATGCGTATTACCAAATTTCTTATTTCTTATCCGGATTTAATCAAACTTGGTCTTTGTAATTGACAAACATTCTTTTATTCCTAGTCAATATACATTAAACTCTAGGCACTTTTGGATATTTGAATTTAGAGATGCAGAAAAGTATTTACATCAATGTAATTGCAATAGACCATCTTCATATGTACCTGAATGTTGTAACACGCCCTGCATCAGTACTGTTATTAGAACAGTTCTAGTTTTAATTGTTTTTTGGTTGTAAAAAGGAGAACATAGATCAGTATTAAATATCTATATACGGTAGTGTAACCTATATTCGTGCATATAAGGATTCAACACCAAATTTCATCAAATGAAATTTTTTTATTATATCTGAGAAGTTTCCTCAGATATTCTACAAAATAATTAAAATTGGTTTGTTTCGATTTTTTTTATGAATCCCTCACTTTGACCCATATTTTATGAGTAACCAACTCGACAACGGCGGCAAAATGCGTCACCTATTTTCGTGTACAATGTTTGATCTGTAAATAAGTCGAGAAAAAACACATTGTATGGATATCCATTGGTGTAATTAACTTCTCTTAGTATTTAACTTTAATATCAATTCATTATAACTCGTGACAATTCCTTCAAAGATTTAAAGAAAAAATAGAGACTGACAAAATAAGATAGTAGCGTGATTTATTGCTAAAAATCATTGAAACAACATAAGAATATATAGAATTTTTCTGCTGACATGGAATCCGCAAGTTGATCATGTGACTTCATTCATTGGACTACATTCTAGCAGACGACTCTTGGAATTCCGATTACAGCATGGGATAATAAGGAAATTCGGTCAATAAAAAATGTCGACTTTTGGTAATAACTTGAATCTGCCATTTTGTATTTGTCAAAGTAAACAATAATACATTTTACCTTGCTTGTAACTACTGGATTCATTCTACTAGCTGTAAGCTGACATTGTAGAGATTACCCATGTTTATCAAAACAAGCAAATGCGGAGGCCACGCGAGGTCGCACAATCATGTAAATTATCAATCATTTCTTGAGATGCACGAAAAATAGGTTAGCAGGAAATTAGGTTAGTTGACTGTATGGCAACCTGTGACTGTGAACGCGAAAAAAAAGATCGATATGATGTCAACTACAGTGGTTGAAAGTCTCTGATCTGATAGAGAATATATACTGTCCATGAACTGAGTTGGTCTACAGGTTGATGAAAATCTTCACCAAAGAAGACATTATTAGTTAAAAATAAAGATTTTACAGAGGAGAATTGTTCATTCATTCATGCAATTGAATTTTTTATTTGAAATATTTTTTGCGCCAAGCATTTAAGTGTAGACTGTAGGCCTACAGTGTTGGCAGTGGACAGAGGAAGTGGATAAGTTGAGTGTGGTCTGAGTTGCAGGAGGGTAAGCTAGGAGTTACTGCTACGATTCTACATTGTCACTTACCTGTAGATAAACAAAAATCACCAGTCGCTAAGCTCACTTCTTGTTGCAACATATACATTTTAATTTTAATTAATCTAATCTGTATCTGAATTAATATCTTTGTTTACAATGTTACATGTGTGTTGTGGGGGCTGCCATCTTGGATTTTAATAATATTGTAAACCATGTAAAGGGAGATAACTCTTATATTTCAAGTAGTTTCAGACAGCAACAAATGAGTAGAACAAATACAGAAAGGTCACACACTTGTTGTGAAAACTTATATCTTCTCTACAATTCTTCACAAAAAGCACATATTTTTATTGATAAAAATGTAGCTCTGAACTCCTGTTTTAATTTTTACTGTTCCTTTCAACACTGTTGTTAATAAACCATCGTGTCCAAACCACACCCCCATTCGTCATACTTCCTCGGGGTTAAGACCCTGTCAAAACCTGTATTTGTGATACAATGTTAATTAACCTGCAGACTAATACAAAGAAAATATCTCTTTATCAATATTTCATTACACTTCTATAGAAGCCAAGAAAAAGTCTATTTTTTGTCAGCTGAGACTTAGAGCCAAATCAAAGTTAATAAGCCTATCTGAGAAATAGTCTGACAAATATGGCCCGACCTGTGATATACTGATAGGATTTCGGTACAGCCCCACATAGAACTATAATACAGTCGATGGATAGACTTGAGTTGTACAAACTAAACAAGTCTACCCCTCGATTGTGGTACTGTGTGGGGCACAGGAACATTGAAGAATATCTGGTTATGTCTTGATGGACTCATTAATGGGTCAGCTTTGTAAAGTTATCAAAGTTAGCTTTTGTTTTGGTGAAAATTTTCAATAACTTGAAAAGTGATATTTTATGTCTGGCCTTGAACGTGCCAATACGTATATAAGATCCTAGGCACTGGTAGGGCCTGATTTTCTGGGCTATCTGTGTGTTGGCCTGTGCCAATGACATTTCAAGAGTCATATCTTGACAAGCCTTAAAGATAGGTCTTTTTGTTTGATTGTGAAACATTAGCCCGTAGAACATATTTATAACACTTAAATAAAAGTATATCACAAAATATTTGCACCAATATAAATAAAATTTTACACAACATTCCTTGAATTTATTGAAGTCTTAACTTGGGGTCAGAGTGCGTAAAGAACGAAAACTTTGACTGGATGATGGTCTGTCCACAGACGGAGGTCGGGGTACAGGATTAATGTCTCTCGAATCACAAGCACCTGGGGTAGGAGTTAAGTCCCCAGATTCACTGCCACACTCAGAGAATGATTCTAATACAATACTGGAGTCTTTTAAACTATTACATATGATTTCTATTGACGAATGTTCAGATGAATTCTTTAGACGGTTCGATGATTGTGATTCATTATTCAATCCCTGGGAGATCAGAAATGGACTTTTATTAATTTCAGGTAAAAATGGACGTTTTTTTGTATATTCGGGTTTATAACTGTCCTTGGATGCAGAATAGATATTCTGGCTATACTGATTAGTTGGTTTAGAATTGTCACAGTTTGTGTCTTCTGTCAACTTTCCATCAAATGTCAATTTTCCAATATCCTTGTCATCATCAATCTCAGCCTCAGCTACAAGTTTCCATGTTTCTGCTAATATCGGCTCCAGTTCTCCATCTTCAATGAAAAAACAATTCAATGACAAATTCATTCCAAATTTCTCAGTTTCTAAAAACTAACTATTCAGATATTTCTTTATTAAGGAAATTTCTATAAGTCATATATTTTATCTCAGTATTTGTGCACATGAACAGTGCAATGGAGCTTGTTAACAGAACAGACACAATATTAACATCTGAATTGTATTGAAAAGAGTTCAGCCTCTCTGCTCATTATCTGTTATAGGATTTAAATTTTCATTTCAACACCACGTTTAATCCACAATAATAGTCAAAACCATAAACTGACCTTTTGTAAATTAATTGGTCATTTAAAAATATTATATAGAACATCTTCAAAAGATAGAAAATTAATTGCTACTTCAATTCATTTTTTGATAACTTAAGAGTGGAAGTGTTTATGGAACCAACCTGAATTAGTAGCATATTCCTCAGATTCTGCTACTGATGAAAGCTTGGTGCTAATTGGACAATAAGCCTCAGACAGTAGCTTCTGGAGAACATCATGTGATAAAACAGGAGGGTTGTCATAGATACTAGACCGTGATGTTGTTTGTTCGGATCTGTAAATAAAGTTTATTGTTAATATCTATATGAGTTATAATTTTTCCATATATCTAAAACACTATGCAGTGTGCAATATGTGAAATCTTACCAGGACAGAGTGGCAATGTTAACTCTTAATTGATTTGCAGACTTTGGTTAATCATCCTTGGACTGCATCACTGACAGGTGGAAAATCTGGCCATATATTCTCGCAACGATCTACGCACTAGGACGCTAAGATCTTTTCAAGAATATGGGTTATGAATATATTAGCACAATAGATCAATATTGATTACCAGACTCCTTGGTTGATGAACAAGCAACACTTAAAAAATGTTAGGTTACATACTGAGGTGTGGTATCTGGCAGGGTGTAATTGTCAGTCACACAGGACGACCTTGACATTGATCGAACACACTGATCTAATAATTTATTCAGTTGGTCTCCTGTTAAACTTGGTGACTCCAACTACAAAATACAATGGTATATATGTTTGGGGTTGGAGCTCAGATGAAAAAATATTGAATCATTGAAAATATGCCACTAACAATAGCTTGTGATGTAACTTTTGTTTTAATTATGCTTTTTTGAAGCAATATTCAATCTACTGCAAACATATCAAACTGGACCAGACTAACCAGGCCTTGCAAAATTAGACCGATTACACCTTTTTATCCTATGTTCTGAATTAGTGTACGATGAAAGTGTTTAAGGTTGGATCCTTTCCCTATGCATGTTTTGATAATTACTGTTATGTATGTGTATATTTAGAGGAATTCATTTGCAAAATTTGGGGTGTAAATTATTCCAGTCTTCCTTATGTTACCTTCATTTCTCTGGGGTTATGAAATGCTGCTAATTCATCTTCAATATGTTTTAATTTCTCTTTCATTTCACGTTGCTCCTTTGTTTCAATCAAACTTCGTTCTCCATATTTTTCAAAATCTAACACAGACGATTTTACATCAACTCTTGTGAATAATCTTGACTGTGAAGAAATAAAGCAGTGAAACATGCAAACATTCCATTCCAAAAATAGTGAAAAATAGAAAAATGAAAAGATAAAAAAATGTATTATGAAATAAATTAATGAATTGTACAGAGAACCTACTGCAAGTGGAAAACTTGAAAGAAAGCAAAAATTAACAATTTGGCCAAACTTTCCCAGATTATCCATACCGATTTATTGTCTGCTTGCCTGGAATAATGGGAATATCCAAGGTCTCTTTACTGAAACAGGCAGACTGAGATAAGAATCTAAAAACATCAAGATTCCAACACTGTGACCAACCTCACTACAGTCCCTTCCCTATTACAGTACCTTTAAACATCTGGAGACCACAACTGCTTACGATAATAAATTGTATTGAAAATAGTATAAAGTATGTATATGGTGATAATCTCATGCCATACCAGTGAGAGGGAAAGGTTAAGATATAGATACCAACCTGTGTGACTGGTGTATAAACCAATGAGTCATATTCATCACTTGGTAGAATGTGTTTCAACTGACTGTCAATATTAGCTAGTGAACGCAGTTCAATATTACTCTGTAGGAAATCTCCACAGTGAACTGTAATCTGATATGGATTCTCTTCAGTCTAAAATTAATAATGAAATAAAATGAATGGAGGTTTATGTCCTACCTTTCTTCACCTGGGTTAATGGGTTAATGTACTAATGAAGATGCAATGCAGTGTGCAATGAGGCAAATTTTGTCAGGACAGCAGCAATAGGCTAATCTTTTTCGATTTCCAACTGTCGAGGGAACTTAACGTGTATAACCTGTAGAAAACAGAGCCTCGGTTTATTATCCCATCCAAATGACACGTCACTTTTTACATGTCAGTCCCTCCAATCTGCATCACTGACAAAAGCAGCCATTCTAACGTCCATTTGCTTAATAATTAGTTGTAAGTTATATTACACAGAGTTCATGGTTTATATGACAATGGATTCCGTCTCCAGCCAATATTCAAAGGTTCAACATAGATATCTGCTTTAACAGCCATTTCAAGCATGATACCATAGGTTTAACATAGTAAATGTATCAAAAAGAAACAAAAATGCCAGTATTTCATTTGACATTGTCTCACCATAATAATACTAGAATCATCCAAGTCAACTTCCTCCGGTAATGTTTCTATATCTGTCAATAAATCTGCTACTCTTTTCCTTTCCTCCTCAGTCATTGCGATACTTTCTTCAGCCTGACCTGCTAACTGAAATACGGTGCATAGATCATAAATTGATCAATGTGGAATATTTTATCAGAAAATTATAAAACATTTGTACATGCTTTTATTCATTTCAATGGTTAAAATATAACTTTATAGCATGATACGGATAACATATAAAAAATACCTTGTAGGCTACTATCTCAACAATCTTGCAATTAATCAAATCATATCATTGCTTGATTAAAAAATCATCATCAAATCATCACAATTTATTTTTTATAGCATAAAGTGTGTCGTGTATCAGAAATCCAAAAAATAAAGAATTTTACCTCTTTATTCCTTTTAATAAAATCCTTTTTCTTCTTCTTCTTTTTCTTTTTATCACCACTGACTGACTCGCCAGCGTCGTTTTCTGGTGTTGTACTCTTATCCTGCTCATTGTTTTGTTTGGTCAAATCTGATTCGTCAATCTGAGTTTGAAATACTGGTGTTACTTCTGGTTCATCCACTATTACTCCTGAAATAATCACAGGGAAATAAACATTTCAATTTCTTGCTCAAAATGTTAAGACTGTCCTAAATTCAATACTCTTTGCTCTATGAGAAGTGTATTGTGTATTTCACAGTGACTTGAAGTTAAATGGCCTCACTTTTTCCCCCTCTTAATAGGGCAAATAAACCTGACATGAAATATCAATATGAAAACTGAAAAAGTGAAGTAAAGACTGTCGTGAAAATTTATTTCCATTTAAAAAGAAAGACTAAATGTACCTTCATTATGACTCGGTGGAAGAGCTAATAATAAATATTTATCAGTGTTAGACTTGACTTCTTTGTGTTCACGATTTCCTCCTGATTTCAACTCTGTAATCTCTTCTCTCATTCTCCTCTCCAAGAGAACCCTTTCCCTTTTCACTTCCTTCTCACGTTTCACCTTTTTGTTTAAGATTCTGTCTAATTTTCTCATCTTTAATAACCCATCTCTAATCTTAGGATCCAAATCTTTTAAATCATCATCGGTCTTATTTTCATCTTTGTTTAAAATTTCTCCATTTTCTATTGCTTTCAATTTCTCTTTATACATCTGAAAAGAAATTACAGAAGATTTCTAACTTTCAGTGAGAATTGTTTGTTATTTGACGACGGTAATGCTCTTATTCATACCATCAGAGGAGAATGACTTGGTCAAAAAGCCCTCAGATAAACCTACCCACCCTACTCAAACAAGACTAGACATAAATATAACATTGGAAAAAAGGAGGTAAATTTGTCAAATTCTAATTCTTATTCCCTCTCTAACTCTAAGAAAAAAAAAAATTCAAACCTCCAATTCACTCTTCATTTCTTCTCGAACTTTCTGTTCAATTTCATCTTTGATATTTCTTAATAAATCCTTTTCTTCATCGCTTCCAATTTCCTCTTCTTCCTCTGTTTAAACAAATTTATGGAAATATTATCACAGAACATGCAAACCAAGAGAACAAAGACTACACAGCTTTTGACAGAAATGAAACATTAAGGAAGATGAATTTGACAAGGTAGGTCAAATGTTCAACAAATAACAATGTCTATCACATTTCAAAGCATAATATGCCAATATGCCAGTTATTTTGGGGCATTGGCTATTAGTCACATGTATGGATACGATCTTTGGCATTAGTGATCTTTACAATATATTGACTGATCCCAAATCATACCCACTTACCATAAGGAACCAACGTTCCACCCATTGCATTAGAAGTAGGCTTAATTATTGTCTTAGGTTTACTTTGATCATGTAGTATGCCAGAATTAGTAATAGAGACATCATCATCCTCTTCCTCACTCTCATACTCATACTCTCCTTCTGATGAAACATAGAACTCTTCTGAATTATCTCCCAGAGAATTTAGGTTGAGGGCTAGATCAGGATTCTACCAATGAAATGCAAATGTTAACTAGTGTTATTTACTCTCATAAATTATTGAAACTCTTAGAGACATAAATAAGCAAGTTGCACTTAAAATAAGCATATATAATGTGGTACCTGAAAATACAAAATTCCTGAATTCAATTAATTCAAGGAATTTCAATGCCATCCTTTAAAAATGATATCATATGACATCTTATGTAATATATTCATTCACTTCATCTTGATCACGATCTACTGATAAACAAGGTAAGCATCATCAATACTCTTATAAATTTTCAAATACTCAGATATTAAAAAAAAGGGTCCCAGGCTTACCTCTTGAGCTTTATCTTCCAGATTCATAATGGTATTTATGTAAATTATATAGTATATGGCTTTATTATTTATTTAATGTAGTGTTTTTAGTTTCTTGACTTGGACTTGATCACTTACAATGCAAATGACTTTAATCTGAAATATTATTGAGATGATACACAATACGACCCAGCTGCACGTCACATAAAATAACAAAAGTAGATTATAATTCGAGACATAGAAAATTTTTTTTAAAGAAGTACAAGTATAATTAAGATGTTGTTGACATAATTTCCATGGTAATGAAAAGTATAAATTACAAATTCATCAAAGTCAGAAACTCTCATCGATTTAAACGTTTTCATTTTGATCTAGTCTGTTTAGTTACTTACTTTCTAATAGTTTGATCTAAAAATTTTGTCTTAAAGATCAAAAAACAGCATTTGTTTTCGTAAAAATGTTATAAAAAAATAATTTATCGGCCATTTTGGAATATTTGTAAACTTCCGGTATTTTGCCTTTTAACAGCCGAAAGAAAAATTAACTATCAACCGATTGATCGATTTAGTTTTATTCATTTTCATATTTATCAACATTAATGTATTTGGTTTCAACTTTGATGCATAAAATGTTCACATCGTCTTACTATTTATTGCATTTAGTCGGTTAGGTGGTGATTGCGAGTTCAAAAACAATTTTTTAAATATCAGTGGGACTGGACAATTTGGAAGTATCAACTTCCGGTTGGCGGCCCATGTGTTGATCATTTTGGCAAAGATATATTTTTTTTAAATAAAAATATACGTCATTCAAATTTGAATCATGACCTCAAGCTCTATTCTGTCAATAGGTTGAATGGTGAACTAATGAAGTGTGGTTTCAGATAAGCGTGCAGATTTCAATTTACCATTAAATATTCCTGATTATTTACGAAACAATTTGATAGCAAAATTCAATTGCCTCAATCATAACATATATTTGCTTAGTCCCATTGTATGATTTCAAGGTGATACTTTCACCCATAATTTTACCATGAAGAAAGTGTCTGCATTTGCAGTGTTTTCGGCCAAATCTAAGAGGGTAAGTGAGAAATTGAACATAGCGCAATTTGATTTACAATTATCTGGCATGCATAATATAAATAAACCAAGTACTAACGACGACAACGATCCGAATTGCAAAACAAAACTTGAAAACCAAAACAACATTTTGGCCAAAAATTGGTAGCTGTTCAGTTAATGAACTTTTCCCATGAGGAAGTATATCAATCATAAGTTAATAAGTATTTCATAATGCAGAGTGGTATCAGATGTTTAGGAGAGTAAACATACCTTGGGCCTGTCTGGAGCCAGTTTATTTATTTCACACCATGTAACGATTAGATAAGGTAATAAGCTTGTGTATATTTTGGTTATTCACTCTATTTTTCCAGACTAAAGCCATGACCACAGAAGAAAGTGGTAGAGACTTGGAGGAAACAGAGATCAGAAAATCTTTTTTACGACGAGCATCAAGTACACCCACAGTTCCTGGGGATGTTAAGAAAGAATCTTCGACAAAAGGACAGAAAATACTGGTTAGTATAATAAACAACTTGTTAATTTAGGGTAATGTCAACAGAATGCAAGTTGAACTTGTGTTGGTGTTGTTTGACATTTTAAGGTATTTTATGTGATGTGTCTTGCTATGGGGACAACTGAATCTCAAAATACTTTGGATTACATGATTAATTAAGCATCAGCTTGTCAAAAAGTTAATTTTTACTCTCTGTAAACTGATATTGGTTATCAGTAGCAATTATATCTATTTTCAGAAAGCATTAAAAGGGGGAAGTTTAAGAAGTACGTTTAGAGGAGGTAAAAGTCGTCCGTCTGTATTACCAGATGCCCAGACTGATAGTCCGTATATTTCAACTGATAATGTCTCCAATGGTGTAGAATTAACTGGACTAAAAAAGAGTGCTGATCATGGTAGTCTTACAAGCGTCAAATCTGTTGGCAGTAAGAAATCAAAAAGCTCCCCAGGTAAGATAATTATTCTGAAAGGACCACCCATTTGTAAGAGAGTGAATCACAGAGTTTATCAAGTTGATATTTCAAAACAAAATCTTCCATAACCAGCCCAAAACTGGATGAATTATAAACTCCTTGGCTAATTACAGTTAAAAGACAATTTAAGAACTAGACTCCTTACCATTGATTTTAATTAATGAGAATTTGAATGAGTTTTTACTTGAAGTAAACTTGATTAATATTTCAGTTAAATCGAAGTCCAGTGAATCCACCAAGTCACCAATCAAGAGTAAAAATACGGCAAGTGATGACTTAAAAGTTCCAAAACGTGTTACACGTACCACCTCACCATCCAAACGACAGCTGGAATCTCCAGAGTTAACACAACCACCTGTCAAAAAGAAAAAGAAGGAAAACAAAGCTGAAGAACTGAACAGTGAAGTAAGATTTGAAATGAAAAAATTAGAGGACATCATTGGCATTTTATGAACTACTGTTTAGGTGGAAGTATTTGAAGATATCCTGGGAGAGGTTCTCGGAAATTTAGGCTTGTGACAAAGAATTTTTACATTCAATAGTGTTTGAAACTGCTGTATAATATTATTTTAATCAGAACTCTTCATCATTAGGAAACTGTATGGAGAAAGCTAGTTAATTGTTAGCATGTATTACTATTGCAGGATAATGTAGAAGACACAAATAAAGATTTAGAATTAACATCTAAACTACCCTATATGTTTGACAGTTCTAAGGAAGCTAAGAAATTATTTGAATGCATCATACATCCTGTGAAATTAGATAGATTCTTCAAGTAAGTTAAAATCTGTAGATTCCTCAAGGTACTGAATGTATGGGATTAATAGTCTGAAGTGGTTTTGTCAGTCTGTGGTTATTTGCTGAACTTAAGGTTACAGATTACAATGACTAAATTTTGATGGATTTGAAGTTGTAAATAATATTGCTTGAGTGTGTCTCCACTTTTTGTAGACACATTCTTTTATTGTAGTTAATTCTAATGTGCATCTTTCATTACAGTGAATTGTGGGAAAGGAAACCATTATTGATTAAACGTCATATAGCTAATTATAATGATGGTTGGTTTAGTACAGCTGAACTAGATCATATACTAAGACAGGTGGGTAGACATCCATAGCATGGGTTAAGCTTTTTATCAAAGAAACTTTCAGTAGATGAGTTCAAATAATATGGTTCTTATGTCTTATGCATTAGAAGGTTATTAACCTATGTCACTAATTCGTCTTAAAAAACCAAACTCATTTACATGTTAATTGTTTCACTATCCTTTGATAAGAGTTATCCCCCTTGTTTTTTGAGATTTTATGGAAACTGAATTTTTTTAATAGTCATTCTTGAACTTTCTGAGAATGTTTTCTAATCGTATATTTATCTACTTTTGTAGGAGAATATTCAGTACTCTGTTAATTTAGATATAACCTCTTATGAGAATGGTAAACGAGAAACACACAATCCTATTGGTCGAGCCTATGCCCCAGTTGTCTGGGATTACTATCAGGTTGGTTGGGATTTTTTTAGAAAACCAGGTCATATACCATTAATACTAATTTGGCAATTATTATATCTGGCACTCTATATTGATACTTGGCAAGGCAAACTTTTCGTTGGTCAGCCAATCTATGAATCCACATCCAAATGGAATATGTCTACTTTATGCCTCTTGGAGTGCTTATAAAGTTAGATTAACAATAGTTCTGTTAGTATTGTAGAATGGTCCCGAGACTTTTTTTTATTGTCATAGAACTTCACATGGTAGTTTTGTAAAATACTGTTATCATACGTCAATCAAAGTCAATGATAAAAGCAGTCTGTTATAGGGCAGAGCCTAATTTTACTTTCTCTTTACACAGATATAAACCGAATGCATGTGACCGCTGTTATCCAATCAAATCATTTACACAGTATCGCAATTTAATTATATATCCTTAATGAATATTTACTAGATCTATATTTTGTGTTTTTTTATTCAGAATGGTTGTTCAGTAAGATTACTAAACCCACAAACATACAGTCGTAGAGTGTGGAAATTACTAGCTGTCTTACAAGAGTTCTTTGGTTCTTGTGCTGGTGCCAATGTGTAAGTATTTCTTTGTCCATAACAGTATTTATGCCACAATATAGGGATGGGCGATATTGGTTCAAGTTGATATCACAATATTAAGCATTAATATATCACGATATGGGTATATATCGCGATATTTTTCAAGTTTGTTTTTTACTGGTTTTTGAAACAAAATTTTGATCAAGAAATTTTAAATGTAACATAAAACAATAAATATCTCTAAAAACACCCCAGTCTTGAATATGATGAAAATGCATCAAGTTACTGGATAAAATTGATCTTATCTGGACAAAACTTTTACGATATATCATGATAATTACCATATAACAGGATATGACGATATTTGGGTATTTTTTAATCAGGCAATAACTAACAATATAAATTCGCCCAGCCCTACCATAATACATTGTTGATAAAGCCATGCCATTCCGAATAAAAAAGGAACAATGGTTTTCATATTTCTATTTTTTTGCCTACCTTACTCATTTAATTGTTTTTTCTATTTTGAAGAATACAGCCATGTCTATTATGATGGTAGGAGTATAATATTTATTTTTTCATCATCTCTTTTTGCATTATACATACATATAATAAACAATCTTTTATGTAATTTATCTTGGATTGACATAAATATTTTAATTTTTTAATTCATAACTTACATTTAAGATACCTAACACCCCCAGGAACACAAGGTTTTGCTCCTCACTACGATGATATAGAAGCTTTTATATTACAATTAGAAGGTCGCAAGAATTGGAAATTGTACAGTCCCAAGTGAGTAAATAATTTATTTTGTTCAACAAAGTCATTTCTAACTGTGTTACAAGAGAACATTGTATCTGTATGTCTTCGTATCAGTACACCTTGATTTCTAGTGTTTTAAACTTGTGATCTATAAGGAGAAGAATTGCTATTGATGGAAATTTTATCTTAATGGGATATTGCTACTAAGGTACTGTATTATATGGTAATAAATCATCTTTTAAATTTGTTTTTCTCCAGAAATGAATCCGGGACTTTGCCAAGGTTTTCAAGTGGTAGGTTATTTTAGATTTAACTTGATATTAGCAGTGGGGTGGAAGATTTCTTCCTTTCATTTTATCTATAATCCTGATGCAAGAATATCCTTCATTTAATGGTTGCTAAGAGTGTTTCTTGTTTTTTGAAGAGGACAAGTACAATTGAACGGATTTCAAAGCATGCCTGTGATGTATGCAAAGTCCAATATACAGAAAATTTGGAGTCGAGAGATGAAAATTTTTTATCGTCCATCATATCTTTATAAATATTTGAATAGAAAGTATTATTAAAGATTTTGAATGTTTCTTTATAGATAATTTTAGTGAAGAAGAGATAGGTGAACCTATATTAAATATTGTATTGGATGCTGGTGATTTATTATATTTTCCCCGTGGTACGATCCATCAGGCTACAGCTCTAGAGGATACACATTCTTTACATATCACAGTATCCTGTTTCCAGAAAAACTCTTGGTATGATTTCTTTGAAAAGGTAACTCCATCTTTCATATTTACAAATGGATTAGTATTTTCTGTTAAATTTATAAACATATGAAAATAATTGCTGTTGGGCTATCAAGGCAGAAAGTAGGACGTAAAGCTCCATTCCTTTCCTTTCTTTTTTTGTGCTATCCAAGGAACATTCAAGAATTGAAATCGAATATTCTGTTGGATTCAATTCAACAAAAACAAAAATTCTTCAAATGTAATCGCATTCATGTCTCTTTGGATGTGAATTTGTCTAGTAAACACATTTATTGTTATTTACTTAGTATGTATGGGTTTTGTTTTTGTGTTTGTTAGTATATATAAAATTATATATAGTTATGATTACTATATTGTAGTTGATGCCAAGAGCTTTACAAATAGCATTTGAAGAAGATTTAGAATTAAGGAAAGGTTTACCTACAGATTATTTACATCACACAGGTGTAGTCAATTCAGATAAGGTAAGACACTTTTAACCTATGACCAAATGTTCACATAATGCTTACCTTTCCTTACATTTCTTAAACAAGAGCTCCTAATCCTAGTCTAGCAGAGGACAACTCTTTATTGACTGAGCTATTTCACTGCTACTGGTATCGTATCAGATCATGGTGGCATAGATTATCCAAAATTTTTCTATCTGAAACAGGAAAGCCCAGAAAGACAGTTTATAATGGGTAAAGTTGAGAAGTTAATGACAAGTATAATGAAACATGCTCCTGTTGATGCAGCTTTTGATCAAATGGGACGACAGTTTGTCCATGATAGTTTACCACCTGTTCTCTCTGAATGTAAGTTGCTTGTTGATAAATTGTTATTTGAACCTAATGTATTAATATACAGAATGTATTGACTTTTATTAAACTGGACAATAAGTCTTACTACTGATGTTGTAGAGAGGTGTTCTGACTTCTCTATAAGATAGTCACTACAAGTGAATTTTCAAAAGCCACAGATAATAAAATTTAGAAAACCTCTCTACAATCCATCCAGACTGCATGCTGAATTTGGTGTATAGCTGCTCAAGCTATTATCAGTCACATGACTCAACCTCCGTCATTAGCTACCATTTATTCTTTGATTTAGTGATAATGTGTTATTGTGTATGACAAAACCAAGCACCATACCTATTTAGAAATTTAATTAAAAAGTGACTAAATTGTGTATGCTTTCCAAAATTTCGTTGTTACTCTGAATAATGCATGGTTATCTGTAACCAGAATATGTTGTGTGAAATAAATGATCAGTACATCTGATATGTATTTTGATAGCTGAGAAGTCGTGTAGTATCCATGGTACAGGAGAGAGATGGGACAGTCAAAGACAACAGGTTACTAGTATGGTAGAAATAGAACCAGATACAATGATAAAGATAATTAGGAAGGGAGCTGTCAGGTATGATTTTTACATTGTAATAGCCTAAATCCTATTTCAGACAGTAATCTCTATGATTGAAACATTTACCAAAAGTTGCCATTTTAAACGGCTTGGCTCTTCTTTCATACCCTGCATACAATTATAAATTTACATGTGTTGTCTTTGTTGTAAATCAAATTCATAAATCTTTCTTGAAGTATCTTTTTTTTATTTGACCTTTAACCTGTTGTAAAGATAACATTGTATGAAGTATAAAGTTAAAATGAGAATGATAAGTTGATTTGAAACCATCATATAGTTCATATGTATCCTTGGTCAAGTCGAAAAACCATTAAGTCCTTGCTGTCTACAATATTCATCAGAGTTTCAAGTTAGAAATCTACTGTCATGTCATGTTAATAATTACTTGTCTTTAGATTGGTAATGGAAATGGATCAAGTACATGTTTATCATACATTAGAGAATCTACGATATTATCATGGTACCGAACCCCAGTATGTGGATATACCTATAGATGTAAGTTCAAATGTCAATTTCATGCCCCCCTCCTCCTCTTCTTACTCGACTGCCCGTCCTCTCCTACTCCCCTCACTTACTCCCCTGCCCTTCTTACGCTCCACCCCTTTCTCTTTCGACATGATTATTACAAATGATTTGATAAGAGCTTATCAGAGACATTAAGATCTTGTAAGTCTACTTTGTTGTGTCATATTTTTTTTTGAACAATGACAGAGATTGATAAGGTTCTATTTTTTCCCCGGCTCATTTTAATTTAATTTTCACCCTCGCTTTTCTCTTATATCAATCACAAGATAACCTTTGCATGAATCTAAACCTCAATTTCAAATAAAGAAAATAGGCCATTGTTTTGTATTTAACCCTTTGAACCCTGAGTGTAAATGAAATAAAATGTCATATACCCTGAACTCCAAGTAATATAAGTAAAAGCATATGACGTTAATGTTAATGTTGTGTTTACCAGCCGCTTGGGTTGAAACGGTTAAGCTCTAAACCTACCTTATATAAATCTATTTGCAGGCAGCACCGGCAGTGGAATTCCTGATCCATTCCTATCCCGAATATGTCCCTGTGGACAGTTTACCATTAGATGATATACAGTTGAAAATAGATATTGTAACAGCTCTGTATGAAAAGGGACTGATTTTAACGCAGGAACCTCTAGACCCAATCTATGAAGAAGGAGTGGATGAAAACGAAGCTCCTATGTGAAATAAAAATTTTATAGCTATATGACTTTAATGTAAATTTTATGTCCGTTTTGGAAACTGAACCGTATGTCAGTGATATGATTATGAAGACAGTGATTTGTGTACAGTGTATGGATGCTTCCTCTGACATTATAAACACTAAATATGTAACCATAGTAATTTTTTTGAGCTGGGTTATTTTCTGCGTGCGAGAGATGAATTTATATCTGTTAAATGAAATTGTTAAAATAATTTTCAACAAGATGACTTCAGATTTTTATTTTTAAGAGTCATAAAATGCATATGGAATTTCTTTCTTTTAACCTTGTCTAATGATAATGAAAAAGTATGATCAGTAGGGATAATAGTCATTTTCCCAATGTCAAGCTATTACAAACTGTGTCTTATACCTTGACTGCAATAGCTACGATTATTGTATCATAAAGGTTTGTGAATTTATCGATTTGATTGGACTGTACGCTACCGAATACAGCCTATGAGACTCAATGATTTCGCTAGAGTACAATCTACTAAAATTGCTGAATTCTGTGATACAAGTGTAGTGGCTATAAGACAAAGTTTGTAATAGCTTGACATTGTGAAGATGTGAACTAGTATACAGTTACATTGATGTACAGCATTAGAAATAAGATAAAGGAAAGGCTTGGCTTGAGTATTAGTAATGTACAGACAGTTTATTTTGGTTAATTGATCTTTTTATCTCACTAAAGAGAAAAGTTTTTCTGTCTGTTACCTTTAGATTCTTCAACTGTTTTTCTAAGTCTTTAAATTTTCTGAAAACAGTAACTCTAGTAGGCTATTAAAACATTGAATTCTTTTAGTTTAGATTTAGATATTTACCTGAAATAGCTTTTGTATCAAATTGTCAGCTAATATCAATTAACCAGGTAGATTACAATATATTGTACTGCATTAATTGGCTAATTCAATTAAAAAAGAATCAGGTAGTGTCAGAAGTAGAAGGGATATCATACAAATCTGTGTTTTTTTTTATGTTTTTAAACAAATTTTTGTTGTAATTTGTTATTGGTGTTTTAGGAATAAATTTGACAAAAAAAAATGAAATAAAGTGCTAGAAATATGAAGAAAGTTTCATTTTCACCAACTTTCATATATATATGGTCTCATGTATCAGTGACACTCCATTACATAACTCAATTTCCAGACGCCTGTAATCTGTAAATTCCTATTCTATGACAATGAGTTTCCCCACAATTTCGGTAAGACAAAATTCGTCAACCTTGATAAACCAAGCAAAAAAAAGAAAGAAATTCCTAAGTTTACACTTGCCCTTTACACAGCACCTTACTAATATTTACTATAATTTGTAAATCAATTACCAACAAGATGAAGAGTATTCCTGAAATATAATGAAAAGTGCAAAAAATAAAAAAAATTACTTAGACCGTTTAACCAAGTTCTTAACAAATAGGTTTGAGAGTGGTTAGCTTAAATAACTAGTTCCATTAGAGGTGGTGAAATTTAAACAAAATTATTTAATAGAAGAGCGGTTACTCGGTAGTACTCGTATACCACTCGCGAGTTTCGTGTTCATATATACAAAACAAATCTTATGTAGAAGCGTGTTGATTGGACGGTTTGAAGATCAAGTGAACATGAACATTTATTACCTCAGTCCCTTATATAAATAATTCTGTCGTGTTGAATCGGCGATGGCATGTTCCGTAAAAATATTTTTTTGTATCGTACTGTCAACAAAAATACGTAAATTCATTGACATCAAACTACTAAAAGTCCTACAGCATTTTGATACTTCCGCTAACTGACATCGATTTAATCTCTCAATCAGTCAATATTTAAATGATGTGATGTTTGTTTATGAAATTGTACCAATGTCTAAGTTCAACTGGAAAAATAAAAACGCCCATGACTGAAATGACAATTTTTGATGAATTTGAATAGCAACATTTTTTAGAGAAACCTGACTTTCGTCTCTTGAGGTGTTTATAGAAAAATAAGTGAGTCAAATCCAATAAACGGATAAAATACACAGAATAAATTGCTTGGTGAGCAAATACTCTTAAAGGTTGAATTATGTCCCGATTTTTTTTGGTATCTTTCAAATTTATTCATAGTGTGGTCTAAAAGCATAATAAAAACTGACAGTTATGGTGAAAACAGAAATTTGGAAATTCGTGTACATCCAATCAAATTCATGCACTTACTTACATTCTTTCATGATACAAGAAAAATGGTTATTGCAGTTAAGGATCACAGCATAAGACGCAGATCTTAATAGCTGTGAAGATATACTTGGACTAGTTATTACCATTTTACTGAGCAGAAATAACAGTTCAGAAGATTTAATAAGATGATTATGGTTAATGTCTGCAGATCCCGGCTGGAGTGAAATAGCCTTTCACAACAAACCGAACAAAATAATTGTCTCCAAGGCATTATACGTTGAAAAGATGAAGTCTTTATAATAAAAATCTTTATTGACATGTTTCACCAATACATCACCGTTGTTCAACATCAACTACCTTTTGAAACTTAATAATTCTGAAAACCTTTACTAAATATATATACCTTACACACTAAATGAAAATATATATGATATATTTTATTCAACAAAATTCAAATACAATAACCGTCCATTTATCTGGGATTTTCCATTGTCTTAGGGTTCCACAGGATTCTTTTTGTCTTGTTGTTATACATGCTGCCCTTCTTTGCCATCAATTTCTTTTTTCGCTGGATGACTTCGAGTTGCTCAAGAAGTTGTTGTACCATGGAAACATGTCGTGGTTTTTGCATAGTTTTGATGTCTTGGAAGACTTTGATTGTTCTTGCAGCATGTGTTTCTTGGAAGGATAAAATCAATAGTCCAAATACAACCGCCATTAAACTGAACAGTTTGAACGTCTGCATTGTTACTGTCTGAAAAATGAGTAATATTCCATTAGTACCTGTTGTTTGGTTGAAATGACAACGTGATTTAAGTATTGACATCAACATGACCATTTTTAGACAATTTCTAAATCCAGGTATACATATTCATAATGTCAATTAGAAATTACGAACTCCGTCGAATACCTTGACAATTTTCTTGTGACACAGAAGATTGTAAATGTAAATTGGATATACACTAACCAATTCAGACAAACCACACTGTAAACTACAAATCTCTCAAACCAACAAGCTGCAGTTACAGCCTCGAATGTGAAACAAGAAGAGTGTCTTAAATGTCAAGGTATTAGACAGAGTTTTTAATACCTTGACATTGTGGAGATGGGGTATATGATGAATTATTGCAGACCAATGTCCCGACTCATAGGATCTATGCCATTTAGATTAATTCAGATGAATAAAAGATTTTCCTTAATCCCGTGGACCTATTGGCAGCGTTACCTTAAACTAAAGCCGAAAACTGAAAACAAACCTTGGAAGTTGTTTATTCCTACAGAACATTAACAATCCAAATACTGTAGTAGTCCAGCCAAAACACGCTATAAGATGTAATGAAATGTCTTAAAAAGTGACAAATAATTTATGTCAAGTCGTGCAGCATGTTATTTTTGACTGTCACCCATCCATCTTAAACCTGCCAACTCGCTGTCATGAAAACAATAAAATCTTGTTTTACACTTTATATTGTCATTCTTAAAGGGACTGTAAAGATGTTTTATAGTCTTTGTAGTGTATTGGGTACAGTTATAGCTTCCATTTGCATCACCCAGATATCTTTTTTGAAGACTGTTGGTCCTGAAAATGAAGAAAAAATTGACCAAATATGACTTCACTATCATAAACATAACATAACATAGCCATTTGAAAGATGATCGATGCAAATGGACGCCATGAGTTAGTGTACCCAGTACTCATTACAATCCCTTTAACACGTAAAAGCAGAGAGGCATGAAATATACATGTATTATGTATACGTATTTAAAAGTTTTGAAAGCAATATATATCGGAAACCTACTGTCAGTATGACATGCACAAGCTAATTTTGGAGTATTTTAGCTAATTCAAGTGATAATGAAATTCCCCACTTTAAAGAGGAAATTCCAGATGGAAATGGTGTTGATTTACAGAAGATCCAGATATATCCGTTGATTCAAATGCGTTTTTCTAGAGTGCAGTTATTAGCTATGACCTCATAATATTGGCAATAATTGTGCCATTCGGCAATTTCTTGACAATTTCTGTAGGGCTGAAATCACCCCGATATTGACAAAAAGTTCAACTGGCGCTCTAAAATATATCACGGCATTTAATGGCAAACCCTAGTTTATTACTATCTCCAGGCTGTCACGTAGTCACATGATTCAAACGTAACACTACACCTTAACAATAGTTCTTTTAGTCTTCATCAAAATACCCACGACCTGTTAAATAATTAACTCCCAATGTTCATATATTGTTAATTGACATATTGTTAATTCCTTACGGAATACACATGTATATAAATTATCATTATTCAGTTAGAGTTTGGATAATAAGATCACTGGTTCGTAACCTCTTGGACTCCGAGCACCACTAACATCTATGCACTATTATTAGCTCTTTGTTCCACAAAAAAAGGGCTCAATATAGTGACAATGTTCAAAGGCCGTGACAACAGTCAAAAATCATAAAAATATGACAAATTTCTTTGCAGAAGTATTTATTTGAAATTGCATACAAGTATACCCTTTTATTTAAAATCATCCCAGGTGCTTGCAAGAATCCCTAAGATGCAGTACCAGGACAATACATGCGAAACCCCACTTTAAAGCCACGTATAGGTCTACCTATTTTTGAGATAAGAAATAGCCCAACAGTTTAATCGATATAAGTTACTTTGCTCTTTGTTTGCTTATAAAGCAAGATTCGTATTAATAGTGTAAATATTGTATTCAGATAGGGATTCGCAGAAAAGGCGTTATGACCATTAAGCAAATGCTTTTAGTATTAAATTTCTATCGATTGTTCGTCTCACCAAACTATTGATCAATATTGATATATTGTTCTTGAAACGTCCATGTGACAATGAAGCCTCGCTAAGCCTTGTACGCTTCATTTATTTTGATAGTCGTTCAGCATTTCGTGATATTTGAATAGCTGGTATATTGTTATTTTACCTTTGTGATCACTGGCGGCATCAGTGGGGGTACAGGACTGGTACTCTCTTTTTTAACAAATTTAAAACATGATTTTTATACGTTTTTGCCCCAAAATATGTGTCAGAATGCACGACATCTATTCAATATTCCGAAAAAATTTTTGGAGAACCCTCTCGGACGCCCCATGCGACATGACACCTCCACAAAGTTGCCGCATTTTGAATTCAGACTCTAACTTTTATAACTTGAAATATATATTTGTATGTTGAATGTATGATGTCAAAGTTGAACTGTACTCGATTTATAGACGATTCCTTTGGATCTATAAATTAATCATAACCTTATTGATCTTATACAGGCAAACTTTATTTTCATCTCCCTCAAATTATTTTGTTTGCCTTAATTGTCTTAAAATGTGATTCATGCCGTATATGTATATGTTACCGTGTCTAGCAAATTTTATCTTTTGAAATCGTAAATAGAGAAATTGTTTGTATTAAAGTAAAACCATTCGATAGAATTCTTTCATAAACGATTGATAGCTAAACGATAGACTGGTTTGTTTTAAGAAGTTCGAAAGGACAATAGATTGATATTGATGACATAGATATATAGATGTTTTAGTAACTTGTGATTTTATGTTGATTTAAAAAGATTTAATGGAATCGAATGCAGTGTCCCATATTTTATAAATATAACAAAATGTTATGGATGTATGAACCTTCAATATTATAATCAAAAAAGTAAAATTCTAGAAAGCATTCCAGAAAAAATGTGCCAGATATTTGTGATAATAATTCTTCTATTTATAAAAAGTTCTTATGGAAATCAGTGTTTTAAACCGGACACCCTGCCTAACTTACACCAAGGGTTCAAATTCAACTCTCAACCGTTTTCTACCAACACGTCTATAGGTCCCATGGACTGTCTTAGAATATGCCAGCTGTATTCTTTATGTAAACATGCTAATTTTAACAGAATTACTCTGGATTGCTCACTCCTGACGGTAAATTCTAACTTGATTTCTGATCCAGATTATATATCTTTAGACGTGGATACAAGAAATGAAAACATGCTAGGTATATGTAAGAACCATCGGTGTGCCAATAATACAATGTGTAAGGCAGGGAATTCTGACTATTACTGTGAACCAATAGGATGTAATGGATTACCACCAGTAGAAAATATCAATGTAACATCGTTTACAAGTCAAGTTTTATGGGGTTTTGGTGATATGTTGAACTATATTTGTATGCAAACATTCTATACTGATACTAATGTAACATGCTTATCATCGGGAAACTGGAGTGAATTTAGCTGTAATAATATACAATGGTGTTCGCACACTAGAGTATGTTCCGTGTCAGAAACTACAGAATTCTGGCTTCGGCGACGAGAATCAACGGAATATCAAAAAATTTACTGTTCTGATACTGCCGGGCCAGCCGTTACACTTCTACATAACAATATGGCCTCCACACCGGCCTACATCAGAGACCCCAATTCTTGTGCTTTAATTCCAGCATCTGATCCTTCAGCACTTGGAATGGGTTACACAGATTTTGAAAAGATTCGAATTAAATTGTATCGCAATTCGGCTTTATATGAGAATGATTACACCAATTCGACATACGAATTCCAAAATTTTGGACGAGCTGGAGATTGCTATGCTGGAAATGATAGCAGTGTTTGTGGGGTGATCGGACGATTTATCATCAATACCCGCGGTACGGGACTAAGAGTCAAATCAACAGTTCAGTGGAAAACGTGGGGTAACAATGGGGTCATGAATATAACACGATCTGAAGATGGTCACGTGATTGAAGGGTACTGTGGGGGAAATTGTGGGGGTTGTGAACCTGATGGAGTGATTCTGTTTGAGGTAGACCATAACGATGCACCCCCAATTGAGTCAGCAGTTTGGCCGATATGTAAATTTCCACTGTAGGCTAATAACACAACGTAAATCACCCATTTACAAGAGAGATTCACATACGACTGTGCCTAGAAATGTGAAGGTTCGCGATTTTAAATCTAAGACTAGTTATATTTTATGTATTTGTATTTGTATTTACTTAAAAAATTATAGAAACGATTGTACAAATTTCTTGGTTTAAATCTAAATTGTTTCGTTTTGTTTTGGTTATTGAAAAAATATATCTTTTGTAGATCTTCCATTTTGGGTACGTTTTAAATCCCAACCGCGCTACCACCCCAACCGCTAATAAAAAAAATTGCGCTTAAATAAGTATTGTTTATTTTAAGAATCGCAGATTTCATTCTACGAAACAAAGCATTTTGAATATCAATATTATGGTATCACAGGTTTTTTGTGGCGTTTGTGTGCTCAAGTTTATTATTTATGTTGAAATTGAATAATTATTGTTTGGATCATGCTTTGAATCAGAAGAAAAACATCTAAAAGTTAGAAAAGTTATAGGCTATTAATTTGTTACTTTTTTTTTTTTTAAAAAGCTGTGATTCCATAATGTCAGCGCAAATTTGTATGTGTGGGTGGTGGGCGGTTGGGATTTTTAAAAAAAACATTCATTATAGCACTTGTTGCGGAACGACACTTTTTTCTTTCATTGATCAACGTCCGACTGAAACAAATTTTATTGTAAACAGATCTATGATTATATTCAGATAGATATATTTCTGTTAATTGCTACAGGGAATAATCGATGTAAAACTTATGACCGTGCTGGTTTTATACAAAGACCTTTGTCTTTATTTTAAATACGTTTATGTTTCAATCGGATTGTACTATAGAAGACTAATACCAGGAAATGTCAAAATTAAATCTGTAAAAAAGATATATAAATGTATAACAATCGATATAACTTAATATAATGACAAATTTGTCCATTAAGCAGAACAAAAATATTTATATACATGTGTGTGTGTAGGCCTACTCCAAAAAGATGCCAAATTAATAAACCCAGTATTTTTGGATTGTAATTCCGTTCCGAAACAGTCAACTACCCTCAACCATATTCTTTTTCTCATAATTCTTACCAAATTCTAATTTAAAATTTGAACGACATTTAGATCCGGGGAGTACATGATATAACAAAAAGCCACATTGTTATGAAACAAATGTGTTATTTTTTTGGTTGTTATATACAAAGTCTCATTATTATAAGTATAAAGATTAACTTTGTATTTGCCAGTATGTAGAACTTATCTGTGCTAATTGATAAATCGATCTTTTGATTTAAGCGATAAGTTATTTAATTGAATTCTTTTTTGGAAATGACAGAAAACAGTGTACAAGTCGATCATTGAAACTTGCCTTTAGATATTTGTGTTGATTACAATTATTGATTATAATGTTACTACTTCACATGTTGATAATTGGATATCTTCTAAAAATATACCAATCCCTTCCATATAAAACCTTAATGACTGTACTGTCAAACTTTTTCATGCTAACGATTGTTCAAGGCAAATGAAAGGGAATGTGTAATACCTTCTATTGCGTTCACCAAATGAAAATGAAAGGCGATTATTTAGTGGTGCTAATGTAGATGATTATTTGGATGGATTGTCTCCTAGGTGACAAGCTATAAAAATCATCTGCCAGAAGCTGTAGAAGAGTGGGGGTGTCTTAGACTAAGACTTAACCTATTTCTTGATTTAAATTTAAAAGACTCTCTGTAACTTCTAACGATATCAAACAATGAGAGAATGTCGATATTTATTCAACTTGAACTGTGTTTTCTATCCTGTCTGGTTCTAGACTTCATAGTTCGATATCGGAGATTGATATCGGAAAAATGTACAGTGGTAAACACGTACTAAATGTGACAAGCTCTTTGATATATATATAATGATCATTGAGGAAACAATTAAAATAATAAAACACTTGATAACACTTGAAACATAAATGTCTTTCGATACACTCTTGTGGGTCTTTAGTTTGGCGAAGTGTAAACATGACTCTTCTATATACATTGAAGTTGATATCCAATGATGCATGACCGACATAATGGTTGAACCTTGTTTTTACTTTTTTTTTATTCATGCGTTGTATAAACAACCCGTTCAGTGCCAGAGTTTAACCGGTCAAATGAATAGCCTACTCTCGAAATTTGCTTGTGGTTACACCTAAAATCTGTAAGAAATTGTTAGCTACACCGACGTTGCGTTCCCCTATCTTTTTAATTCTAGTTAATTAAGATGCATTGGCAAGTTTGCAAGATCCTCTCTTCATAGAATTGAAAAGTTGTTAATTTGAAAAATTTCTCGGCTCCCTTACTTATCTTCCATATCATTCGATAATCTCATTAAAAAAGATACATTGAAAGCATTTTCATTTTCAGACATTAAATCGGGTTTCTGGCATGTATTTTCTACTCGCCTATACAGAGACACTGTGGAGCGTAAAAAATTTATGTGTTTTATTGTTTTTTCTCTATTTAATGTATGATCATAAATATCATAAACATGACGCAAAATTGTTGGAGTTCCATATCATGCAAATTTTATCAATGCAATATCCGGTAATTATATGTGCATTATGCTATTTTTTCATCTCTATAGATAATAATTTAAGTCTGGTTTAATTTTTTTTTTTATCAAAGTTCAACGTTCACACTTTTGCTTTTGCTGCAACATTAAGTAAATTGATGAAATTTGCCGAACGATTAAGTTCGTAAGAAGGTACGAAAAAAATGTTTGTCATTGATATAGATTATCAGTGGGTAAGATATATACCATATCTACAGTAATAATTGAAGTAGTATTATTGATTTGAATGATTTTTGTAAAACTTCATCTCTATTAGGTATCGGATTTATAAACTTGTTATTCTAAGGTTCACTGCTAATGGTTTTATTTGGTTTTATTATTGGTCGATCGAAACCATGCCTTTTAAAGGAGGGATATGTGCCTACTTCATTTAGAACCAAAAACTAATATTTTTTCTTGTTTTTATAAAGTTTTTTTTTTCTTTAACTTAAAACTGTTTATTTTGATTGAAATCGATTGACAGTCCTAAGCACAAACATAACAATTCTTTGGGTCCAATGGATCAAAATTGTGAAATATTTTGTTGATTGTCCCGAACATTCTGAGTCGAAATTATTCCGAGTTGAGTTTCGAGTTGAAGAATTCGTTCTTTAAGGAAGTAGTTTTCGTATTCGTATTGTAACGCCTGTTTATAAAATAATCTTTCTTTTTCTTTTTTAGTTTCTCTCGAACGCCGAGCCGAGTCGTTATTTTTACTTCGTCGATTCCAATAGTTCATGTCTTTTTCATTCTGTATCACGGCTCGTTTTTTCTTCTTTCTGATAATTGGTCTTGGTTTGAATCCAGCCACTGTTACACCATTACTTAGCATGTAGTCAACGTCTACCTCAATGTTTTTCACCGAGTCATTGTTCTGTGTTTCCCCTTCGTCTTCGTCGACGGTTGGTGCCTCAGAAATGTGCGTCTGTAACATATCATTCGGATTATTTGATATTTCTGGAGAATAGTAAGGTTCTTGAAAATTTTCAGTTTGTATTTCCGTTCGCGAGCATAAAACACTACAAGGACCCGGTGTCTCATTTTCCCATCTACCCAAACTGACAGCATTCTCTTGTTTCGGATGGATACTATTTTCACCTACATTACGACTGCTTGAACCATGCCTTGTTTCGCAAAAATACTGATCTTCAAAGCCATTTGAATCAAGGTGACGAATGTTCAATTCTGTCTCGTTGGATTTACGGTATCCAACCTCGACCCCACTGTCATCGAAAAATGGACATTCGTAATGCGTTCGTTCTAAATGAGTAGTTTGGAGAGCAATCGGGGAAGGGTGCACTTGACGATCCCAGGTCTGCCTTGGGCAATTTTGGTCGTAACTTAAGTAGTCATTCTGAGTGTTAATTTGGACATGCTCGAATTCTGTCCCCATCCATTGTGTTTGGTTTGTTGGTGAATATTGCAATTGTTCCGATGTCGCCGGGAAATCTGGTGCTGTCGAGTAACTATGGTAACAATCATCCATGACGACACAGGATGCTGATATTACGGCAGATATACTGATATTTGTTGTAGTGGAAGCAGGCTGATTGTCATGGTAACCTTGAAAAATGAAGCATATTAGTGTACATAAACTCGAAAAGGCTTATCTTTATAATTTTTGAATTGATCAAAAAAAAAGGCCCAAAGATAGATTGTGCATTAATTTCAAATACTCTTATTTTCTTACCGTAGTAAGTCTGATCAAAATCGTTGGAAACCTGAAATCCGTCCTCCATTTCAAACAATTATTCTTATTTCAAGGTAGAAACCTGGGAAAAATAAAATTACAGTACGCAAACATTATGTTTTAATTGGGCGTTTACATTTAGTTTTGATAGGCTATGGTCGCTAGTGAGCAAAAACGTACATGTTGACGGTGTTTGTAAGTTTGCATTTTTGACCCACCGACTCTTCATACAAAAAGGTAAGATTCGTCTTAAAAAGTTTTTCTGGTTGTCCAGACGTAAACTGTAAAGAATTGAAGAATGGCTATAATTTTTACGTCTGGATGACCAACGAATTCCAAAATGGCTACGAATGAGAGCGTTTTGCCGGTAATTTTTGTTTATTGAATGTTTTTTCCACTGCAAAATACACTTACACATAATTCTTGCGATGCATTGTAAATACTTTATGCATGCTCATCTTTCCACATAGGTTACTGCTTAAAATATTAAAGGTTTGATCTCTAATAAGGAAATATGCTTTTGTTTACATTTTTCCTTTTGTTTCATTTTGAGATGTTGACAAGTCTCAGTGAAAGTCATTAGCATTAGCATCTATGTTTCAAAAAGATATTTCTTGTAGCAATACTGATTAACATATTGTTTGATCTGGATGATAGGATTTTGATATCAATTATTTAATTTTTACAGTCAGAAAAAAGTAAAGACATAGAACAAACAAGTGAAAGTAAACTTATTGATTTAAAAAATGATGGCAGAGAAAGTTTACAGCCTGGTTCAAATGATGAGAAGAAAGAACCTAAAAAAAATGAAGTACCAATGTCTGAATCACAAGAAATTGAAGGGGAGCTGGAGGACAGACATCAGGTAGCAAAACCATGTGAAACTACAAAAGAGTCTTTATCTGAAGTAAAAGCTGACAATATTAAACCTTCTGTTCAAAATATTGAATCAAAATGTAGTGTGGAAGAGAGTGAAATAACTGAACACTTAAAATTGACCAAAGAAAAAGTTGAAGTAGAGAAAACAGAAAATGTTGCTGGTATTTTGGATTCAACTCCAAGTGCTATATCAGAATCTAAAGACATAGACAATGTTGTTGATAGACCTGTTGAATCAAGTTTACTAGAAACAAGTACCAGTGAGTCTGGTTCCAAAATTGGCTCAGCTATTGAACAAAAAAGCATCCCTGTTGCATTTAGTGCTGAATCTCTAACGAAAACTAGTGCTGAACCAATTCTGGAAACTCACAAAGAAGCAGCAAGTGAACCAAATGACAAAGCAAAGGAGTCCAAATCTGAGGGTTCAGAAAAAAGAGTTGAAGATGCTTGCAAAAAGTCTGCATTTCTAACTGAATCAGATGTTGAAACGCAGAAAGAATCTAGTCAAATGGAATCTGAGACTGAACATACAATAAATCAAACTCATCATTCAGCCAAAGAAAAAGAAAAAGATGGAGATCTACAAAGTGATATGAGAGAAGAAAATAAGTTTCTAACTGTTCAGAATGTGGCAGTACCTTCTGTGGATTTATCAAGAGATAAACTTGAAAGTGCTCCGGTGTCCAAACCTATATCAGAATTGAGAACAGACAAGCTTGAAAATGTCTTGCTGTCAAAAGCTGAAGCAGAATTCAGCACAAACAAACCTGAAAGTGCCCCAGTGTCAAAAACTGTGGCAGAAATGGAATCTGAAACTGACAAAGTTGAATCAGACTATGTAACTATCACACCAGCTAGCACATCAGAAGTTTCAGAAAAGAGTGAAAAATCTGATGTAAAACTAACTGAAGAAATTCACCCAACCAAAAAGGACGAGTCTGAAAAAGAGGTGGCTAATTTTCCCATGTCCAAATTTTCGCGCAGTTCAACATTTGAAGATACTGAAGAAAAGATGGAAGTGGAAGAGGTACCAGAACAGAATATTACTGAAGAAATCAAACCTGATGCCAAACCGCTTGAAAATTTTCAGCTAAAGCATGATAGAGTTGAAAATCTTAAAAATGACCCCAATTCAAAATCAGTTCCTTCACCAGTGTCTGTAGACACATCTGAAGATTCCCAGTTCTCAACAGATATCCCAGCTAGTCCAGGAACCACTAAACCGACAGTTAATAAACCTTCATTTGTGGCTGCCTTTAAAGAAACAGCCATGGATGTAGAGGGAGATAACTCTATGGATGTACCAATGTTTGACACTCCTTTGGGTACACCTATCTCTATGTTAGCTGATGAATCCATTGACAATCCTGACACTAGAGCCTCTGTTGCTTCCAATGATGTATCTGGACCAACTCCAACTAAAAAACCTCGAATGGGGAGCTTGATTAGTGCTAGAAAGGAATTTGTAAAGTATGTTTATCTTTTCCTTTCTTACAATTTTTTGTATTTCTTTAAAGCAAGAGGTTCTTTAAATCTGAATTAAAAAAAAAAATTCGGTATAAAAAGGAATGCCAAATATCTCAAAGAGTTAGTAGCTTATTGAATTTTTGTCTGCAAGAAAATTCTGATACTAGTGAAGGTGTACGGGTGTCATCTTGTACCCCCTTATACCCAAATCCTGTCATCTAAACCTCATAAAATATTATTTCAGACTGGTTATAACAGTGGATAAACTGTATGAATATCAGTGGCCTCAGGGTGAGGGAGAATGGCACATGTTACAAGAACAAGTTAGTGAATATCTCAGCATCAAATCATTCAAACGCAAATATCCAGGTATGATTAGAATACAAATGAATAACCTTATATGTAATTACTATGAGGGAGGATTATCACAAAGAAATGTGGAATTGATAAATCACATTATAGCATCAGCATCATCTCCATTGTATCCTGAATACAGGTTTTGACATGGTTCTCGAAGATCATGATGCATTGTTTTGACATGATACATCATCTCTTGCTAGTTGTACCATCTGAAGGAATAATTTTAATGGAACTCAACTGAATTTAAGAGGTTAAATTCTATTTTTCGGAAAAAAAGAAACCAAAACTGGTTTCACAAAATTTAATTACTTAATACTTTTTCGGATTGATTGAGAAAATTTTTTGTTTCTATTTTGGTAATGGTTTATGCAAGTATATACTTATTGATTAACAATTGCAGACATGTATAGAAGATTTGTTGATAAAGAAGAAAAAGAATTTTTGATGGATAGAGGAGTTGTAACAGAAACACATTGTGATTTAGGTATATAATTTTTTGTTTCTTTTAGTAATGTTCCTCAAGAATAACTTTTCTTTAATGTGTGAAAGATTTACTGCACACATTTTTATTGCTGCTAGGCCCTTTTGATTACAAAGTTATTTATCTTTCAAACAAGTCAAACATACATTAACATCAAATTAGCTCTGCCCATTAAAATGCTATTGAAGTCCTGTTCCTTAATTTAGATGAAAATGATAACTGTTCAGAATATTTAAAATATTTGATTGTGATACAGTCACAAACAACATAAGTATGTTCAAATAGGTAATGAAAAAAAAACTTACCAAAACAGCGTATTGTTCTAGTTAGCTTGACTATATATCAATAATTGGTCGAAAATGTATATTTTGATAAGGCATTTTCTTTTTAAAATGAAACTTAGTTATGGACATATTCTAGAATGGTTCTGTTCTGTTTTGATTGGATAGTAACATAATTTGACCAATCGTACAATTTGATGGAATGCTTCTGCTGAATTTTAAAGATGTTTTGAAGAATTTGATTGGTTGAATGAATTTTTCATATGAGCTGATTTGGTTAAAGATTTGTTAGAATTAAGGGAAAAATCTAGCCAAAATGTCATATTTGATCTTGATAATCTCACAGTACTTAATGATATTTTTGCGGTAAAAATATGAAGTAATTTGATATTACAGACAAGAGAATCTCCAAGTGATTTTAATTAGTAATATCAGTACGAGTCAAGAAACAGGTAGAATACATTACTTGTTGAAATTACCTGGTAATTAAAGGTGTAATACGATAATCAGGTGACATATTGGGTCTGATTTTTGCCATAAAATGTTAAGTTCTTTCGTTGAAAAACAGAACAACTTTTCTCTTTACGAATTTTGATTGAAAGACATCTAGAAATTGACCAACTTCAAAGGTCACTAATCACTATCACAAAAGCTGTTTATAACATCTAACAGCCTTTGCGATAGTGAGGTAATAAAATTGGAAAGTTTTAGTGGAATTACAAGGGCCAGGGACGTCTGACTGAAATTGGAATGGTAAAAATGAATGCTATCGGTGTCCCTGATACACATTAAAAATTTACAAAGCTGTGTTACAATCCCTTTAACATTTTAACCAGCCAGTATGTATTTCAAATAACTTTGATTGAGATTATGAAACATTATGGAAAGTAGTTCAGAACAAATTAACATTGTGACATTAGAGCCAACGAGCACTCCAATTTAGATCTAAGACAAGGGAGGTAATTATTGGTTTAGAGATTAATTATCCCCCCTGTTGTGATCTAACAATTACAGTGTCTCAGGTTAACGCCTTGAGGCTAGATTGAACAAGGGAGCTAATCATGTAATCACCAGGTTTGAAAACTTGAGAAATATGATATATATGATTTTAAATACACCTATTGTTATGTTAAAGGACTAACAGCTGTACGAAGTGAAGATATTTATGACTTGATGTATAAAGATTATCCTGAAAAATATGAGGTACACTGAGCTTTCAACTTGATAATTCACCTGTTCAACATGAAAATTTGCTGTATATCAAAGCTGTTCTGTTGATAAAAACTATATCAACAATAAAACATCAAAAACAGATGCAAAATTATATATTGTCTAGAAATAGTGTCTGTGACCTTGAAAAAGTGTCAAAAAAGGTTTGTCGGATCTACAATGAATTGAATGATGTAGTAAAACCTGGCCACATATTCTCGAAACGATCTTAGCGCTAGGATGTCCTAGGTTCTTATCTTCTAACATTGATTCTAGGACGTCCTAGGGCTGAGAATCGTTTCGAGAATTCATGGCCAGCATTGTAATTTTATGGGCTGATTTCCTTAAGGCATCTTAAATGGTAAAATTGATCCATCTCCTCTATTGAATGGTTGTTTCAAATAAACTTGACTAAATTATATCTATTACAGGAGTTTTTAACATACATGCATGGTAAACAACGAGAGACAATTTACGAACAACATAAAGAATATGATGTGGTAGGTAATATACACTTTTCTGTTTCCAATTTGCCTTCCAAAGTTACCATATATTGTAAAGATTCATGAAAGGCAGCCCCGAAATTAGAAACATTAATTTTGCAGTAATAATGAAAAATGTTGTTTTTATTCATATACAGATGTTCATACTAATTATTGACATATTTAATTTATGGCTGAAACATTCAAGCTATGAACATATTGCATGATATTTAACATTATTAAGATGATTGGGTAAGCGAGTTTGTGACATTATTTCAGCCAAATGTAGAAAAAAGTAAATTAGCAGAATATATGAAAAAAGCTGTCAAGTCAGCAGCAGAATTCAATTCTCAGATGCAGAAAGAAAGAAGAGAAGAACGAAAAGCCTTTTTTGATCTTCAAACATTTGTAAGTAGTCAGAATATATTATTATTAATATTATCTTTTGAGGCTATTTCAATTATTTGCAATTTGAAAATTGCCAAGTATTACAGGTAATTGAATAATTTCAATTATTTTTAATTTTCAGAGTGTTCACTATCCTGTGAATAGATATAAGAAATTACCACCAGAATTAACTAAAGCTAGTGCTTACCCAATAGCCTTAATACCAGGACAGTTTCAGGATCATTATACCACGTAAGTAGATAGCCTACATTGAATTCAGTTTAGATACTATAAGCTTCAATATTGTTAATTTGACAATATTTTCCATAATGATATATCTAGACTTCTAAATTCTAAAAGCTATGGTTTTGTTTGGTTTGTTGGATATTTTTGTTGAAGATATGCTAGTTTTTATTGAATGTCCAAGAAAACCTGATGAAATTTGGATGAGATCATGTTATTTCCCTGACTTTCATCCTTTGAATTTCATCTTTTGAGTTACAAATGTTTCTAAAAAATAATTTATGCTTTCATCTTTTTTTGAATGGAGTTTTACGTCCTTGACATTTGCACCTCATTGAGTTAGTGAAGACCAATTTTTTAACCTGAGATTCAACTTTTGAAATTGAACAGTTCTCAGCAATATTATTATTACCTTTTTTTTAAAGATATACAGCAGATGAGTTAAAGTATTTACCTATTAATACAGCTATGTATGATGCTCCTAAATGGATGGAATCAGAACAACCTAAAGAAACCAATCAAACTTCAGAAGTAGAGGACAGTCAAGGGGTTTGTTAATTTCATATTCTTAAAGAATAGATAAAGATTTAAAGTTAAATGAATTAAAACTATCAGACATATAAGTTGGATTGAAAATAATGACACGTAAAAGTGAATGACTGGTCATTTTTTTTTAATCATTTTCAAAATGCAAAAGTGACATAAAATGTTTAGTTTTTGTGGAATTGCAAGAACCACTTAACACATGAAAAATTAAGAAGACCTTTTAATTACTTTAGGTCATTATTATTATTATTATTATAAATGGTATGCGTTTTGGTTGGAATTGAAAGTGTATGTTTTTGCAGGAGAAAACAGCAAGTAGTGATGGTGACAGTGATTCTGGTAGTGAATCAGGAAGTGACAGTGGGGACGAGAAGGAGGAAAAGGAAAAAGAGAAGCCCGTCGTAAGTCTTAGTTGCTTTGCTACGTTTTTTATTTTGATTTATTCAAAACCTCACAGGCAAATAGTGAAAGGATTTTGTTTTAATATATAATTTTAATGTTAATTTGTGTAACAGTTTTATAAACTGTAAGATTTGACTAATTCATGTGATAAAGCTTTGGTTTTAAGGCACACTGTCATTTAAGATATTTTTATCTTATCCAGAAAGCTGAACCAGTGAAAGAAACTACGTGTCGAAGATGTGAAATTAAAAATAAAAATAAGAAACGAATACGAAGAATTAAAGAAGAAATTATAAATTGTTCAGAATGTGGTGCAGGGGGTTTGTTCTCTTTTTATTTCACTTGCTCAGTGAAATGTATTGTTTTTAAACAAAAACATTTCTGAACTGCATGACCATCTGGCAACCATCAGTCCATTCCATATATTAAGTTTTTTCAGTCATTTGGTTTATTTCTACAGGTCATCCAACATGTTTAGAATTAACAGAAGAAATGGTTGGTGTTATACAGACGTATCCATGGCAATGTATGGAATGTAAAACTTGTGTTGAATGTATGGACCCTTATGATGAGGTGGGTATTTACACTCTTAGCCATTGTGACACTTCAAGTGGTTACAAGATGTCAAAGCCTTTCTCAAGATTGTTTTCTGTCAAACTTGTTTATGTATGGTTTAGCAGGCTTTTTTGTTGCAGATTTTATTTTAAATTACATCAATGTTTACAATGTTAGATTTCTCTGTGATGAAAATAGATGAAAGAAATTTCTTTATTTTAGGACAAGATGATGTTTTGTGACCGGTGTGATCGAGGCTACCATACTTTCTGTGTGGGTATGAAGGCAATTCCTACTGGACGATGGGAATGCAAGAGTTGTAAAGGTACCACAGCCTCTATAACGGAAACACCAAAATCAAAGTAAGTATACTTCATACTGTAGTTTTCAAGTATGGTTTCCTTTAGAGGTGAAGGGGATGAAATTCAACATTGGGTGGACTCTCAAACACTGTTTCAGACCAAAACATGCAGTAAGTAATAGCAAGGCTCTCAATTTGGCAGAAGAGGCAGCTGTTTCTCCAACTATTATCAAAGTGCAAAACACATCTTAAGATTTTGCTTCAGGTGACCGAGGCAGCCTCCAGACCCCTACCTGGACAACTGGCTCTTACATATCTTGATATAATTTACGTCCTTGTATAACGAAGCAGATAGCAAACCAACTTGATACTGATTGAACTACCACTTGTATAATCATTAAGTTTCCAAACATTTCTTTTAACTTTTATTTTTGTGTTTTTGGGATGCAAGCCTTCCTCGTGTATAATTAATAGTGCTTTGGGTTTTTTTCTTGTACTTTTGAAATTTGTTTTTCAGAAAGGGTAAATAACGACCTCCACCACCAGCCAAAGATATATAATACCAATAAAAATCAGTTTTACATCCAACCTTTGGAAAGCATAGCTTTCATAGGGCAAGTTGGAGAACCAATGAAAATTGTTTTCCATATTCAGCCAAAAAAATCGTTGTTTTGTGTTTTTTTTAAGGAATGAATGTGGATCTTGTTATGGGGAAATAAACGCTGGTTAAGCGTGTCATGTACGCCTTGTCATATGATAAACCAGCATTTATTTCCTCATAACAAGATCCACATTCATTCCTTATATTAACATTGGCCTGTCAATCATAAAGTAGGCGTGTCATAACGTTTTCAGTCTGTATTGGGTCATGGTTGGGTGTATTGAAGAACAGACGTTAGTTCTGTAAATATAAATTAATAACTCAATTTCCATCAAGACATTGTTGTTGCTTTTATTGTTGTTTATTGTAACATTGTTCATCATATTTAACTGTACATTTCAACCATTTTACAATATATTTATCACCTTATTGACTTGGTTCTGATTTAGTGAGGGATATACAGCGGAAACATTCAAGCAGCCCCTGAAAAGACCTTCAGCCTTTTTGGGGCTTTGTCCATGAAGAAATGGACCTGTGATTTGATGCAATCGTTGAATATCCAAGGTGTGAAGACGGACAAGACATTTGTGAACAACTATACAAACAATAATAATGTGTTCATTACTGCCAGGCTGGATATATTGTACCAGCCATCTATTTGATACCCCTCAACATTCTATTGGACTCTTCCACACATGCATACTTTCTATCAAAATGAACTTCTCATTTGTAAAATTTGGGGTGTTATTTGTTGCTGTTGAATCATACCCTTATTACTAAGAGAAAGGTCTAATCAAACATCCTTACTCAAATTATGAAAAGTTTTTGATGGAGCAATGTTACAAGTGAAAAAGAAGTAATAAGTTAAAAATAACAATACATGGTACAATTTCAAGCATACAGACACACATTAATTCATTAAACTTTGCATTAATTTATAATATAATTCAAATATTTACAATATTCTAGTAAATTCTATACATAGATGAGAAAGATAAATGTGAGTGCATATTGAAGTGAAAATCGGTAATTATGTAAAAACTAACCCGTTAAAAAAACTTGTGACATATCATGCAACATAACAAAGAAATAATTTTCTATAAAAAAAAAAATAATTGGTTCAAATCATTTGATAATTTAAAAAATTTTGATCATTTGAACAAAGTTTGATCATCTGAACAAAATTTTAAAAATACAGGCAATATTTGACATAAAATTCTCCTTTAGAAATTAAGTTTTATCCCAATGCATTAATTAATAAATAATTATTGAAATTTATTAATCAACTATAGGATACAGTACAGGACTGAGTCCTTCCGTCTTGAACTGATACTTTATTTGAGTAATAATAAGTATAAATTGCAAATATAATAGAGCCCGTTCTAACTGGTCCTATAACTAATGCCTTGGTACCATATGCAGAGGGAAATTCTTTAAAAGTTAATAAAGATTGAAATATTAATAATATAATGAAGGGTATTTTCAAATAAGACTGGGTAATTGTTCTAGAGCGTAGCTTTGATCGTATATCTAGTATGTGACTGGTAATGAGTAATAAGGGAATGTTGAACGTTATAATCTGAAATAAAACAAAAATTGTGATACAGACATATTTTTCTGTAATAAAGTTAAACTCAACAAAATTGTTGTTTTAATGGATTGTTTTTTCTTCATAAAAAAATTCAAGATACATTATTATTTGATCGGACTAAGCTAATAATTCCTCCCTTGAAATTATGGTCTCCTGACATGCTTTTATTAGTTAAAAATAACATCATAAGGACTGAAAAAAACTTGCTAGGTTACAATGGGGACAAAAATATTAAACTTGGGAATTGGTAGGATTTAAAAAATGATTGACACAGTCTCGGAGTGTGTTAGAGTGAAATGGGTGATGAACTCACCTGAAATAGACCATAAAAATAAGTAACACTGCCTGGTATGAAGGTATTCTTGAGGAATATACCCCATACAAATACACACCCAACATGATCTACTAATAAATCACCAACAAACCACGGACCTATAATATAACATTGAATGAAAATAACTGAAATGCTGTTTTCATTGAGTTATATATAACTCTATGATAGATTTACATCTTGTTTTTCTACACCGAATTGGGGCTGATAAAGATGAGCAAAGCTATGTGGTGTGCAATGAGAGAAAAAATTTCCAGGATAACAACCTAAGTCTATTCATGTTCCACATCCATCTGTCAAAGGATCTTTAATAAGCTTGTATCACAAAGGGTCATGTGATAAAGTTATTTATTTCATAGACCAAAATCAAGTATATTTCTTCAAAGAGTCTAAGAGAAACTTACCAAAAGTGACATATAATAAAAAGAGAATATGAGAATAATATGTGAAATTGGTTCGAGATGTTAACCATAATTTAAACAACCATTTATTACATAAAACACATAAATAGCTTTCTCCTGTAATAAAGATATAATGATTATCATAATATTTTCTGATAGTAGATATTCACTATTTCTAAATATCTGTATAGTCTAAGAACATAATTAAAATTGAAACAAAGTAAAAAACATAATCAGTCTATAAAAGAGTTAAAAGCAAATGAATATGACTCTAGAGTATACCAAAAGATGTTTTAAATTTTCTTGTTACTTTCATTGTTAGGCATACTCCCAGTTTAAGTTTCCACTTTACCTTCGAAGAAGAATTGTCTGATATTGGCACATTGTCGTAAGGATGTTAGGAACAATGTTAAAGAAAACACCAAACCACAAAAAAATGTCTTGCCCTGAAAACATAAAGATATCTATACGAAATGCATATTATGCTATCGTATTGGTTTCACCAAAATAACAGCAATGAGCAAACAACCAGAAAGACAAGAAACCAAAATGTCAGTAAACTAGTTGACTAAAAAATATATATGATAGAGGAAAATGTCCACACGCCCACTATCATTTATGATCTGAAAACTAAGGGATAAAGCATTTTCACTATGTAAGATCACAGTGGTGAGCAAGGAAGTTATAGCTCAAATTTAAGCTTATTACCAAAATCATTTAATAGATGCTTAAGTCCACATAGAGAGATGTGAGTCTATAAAATCTACATACCAAAAATGAGATATTCGTCATAAGTATGAGTCGAGATATAATCTTGAAATCTGGGTGACTTCCATCCAATGAAAATGGCTGAGTTATTTCATTCTCATTTCCTAAGGAATCCTGAAACAAAAAAATTTGCATACAAAAGACCTTCATTACAAAATTTGTAATGTAATCTGTATAACATATTCAAAACATTAAAAAGACTGTGCCAAGATTAATTATGTGCCTTAATTGAAGGTGTACAGCACTAGGCTATACGAGAGCTAAAAATACTGGTATGTAATGTAGGCTTCTTAAATTCCATTGACATCCAACTTACCTGAACTATAATTTTGATATTATGTAATCCTGTAATATATTTGGAGGTATCCCAGGGTAATGTATATAATGGACCACTGATATGTGATCCTGAACCTAGGTTTATATTATCTATATAGACAGTAGCTGATACAATATCACCTTCACTAAATACTAGAAATCTGAAAACACAAAACAGTATAAAATAACATCTTGGAAAATAACACAATATAACAAGTTTCAGTCCCTTTCAATAGACTACAAAGGTCTAGGTTTTAGTTCCTTATAGCTTACTGCAACCGATGATCCAAACATCAAATCTGACCGTTTCTAATTGCTTTTACCTGATATGTGTGGAAGATTTTATAAGATGAACTGGTTCATGACTAGGAGTTTGAAATAATGCATGTTTCGGGTTGGTTAATAAAATAACTGGCCAGTCTGTTAGTTTTGCATCAATAAACGATAATATATCATTATCTATGGCTAACACACGATACCTAAAATATACAGAAAGCAGAGAATTCACATAATTCAGCAAATATCTGAATCTATATATATAAAGAGAAACAATAAGTCATATATGACATAAAGACACAATTTCAACAATAATTTGAATTGATTTTTATATCTAAAATGTCAACAAAAATAGGATTACATAGTACCTAATGTATCGCCAATTATCCATATATCAGGCATATTGTGTTATGTTGTATCACTAAAGCAGCATTTTGCAGCAAAATTACTAAATTAGTTGTATCTGCATTATGAACATCATAAATTGATGTAACTTCATTTCCAATTTTTAGTCTAATTTTCATGTGGTCAATAAGATTCTACCATGATGTCCAAATGATGCAAGTATACTGTATACAATAGTCTTGTTTGATTGCGTACTAAAATCTGGCACTATGGACTACGTTGGTACCTCAATAGTAAATCCTACACTTACATTCTGTTATCTCTCCAATCACCTAGTTCCAGTTCTAACATACCAGTCTTCTGTTTAGTATACATACTTGGTACCATACCATTTAATGTATGGAGATGTCCACAAAGATAGGCAATGCCTTTCCTGAAATAAATCAACCAGTTGTCAAACTCAGGAATCAAGAAAGAAATTCTTCCAAAAAAGATAAACAATCTTTTTATGACAGAAATAAGCAAATCGAAAAAATCTTAATTACAACTTGCCAGGCAATATCTATTAATTAGAACATGATGGGTTATTTTGTCTAATAAATGTTCATATAAGGCTTCAGTCAGACATGTCTGGCAAATGCAACACGAAAAACTATACATTCTCATGTTCAATTTGGTCTAGTCACATCTGCTACAATACAAGTTGGTATATCACAGTATAAGACAGACCGCCTACCTCATGATATGTTTGATTCCTGGTGGATCTTGAACTATGATTGAAGTAGGATAATGACCAAACCATATTGTAAGATTACTTGGTGTATCTTCTTGAGCTAACTTGATCAGATCACTCTGACGATCCTATAACAGATACTTATAAAATCAACATTTAATTTATTGGCAAATCTTTAATCTTGATTAAAATGTACCATTTCTGCAGATAACTACTCTTACAATCTGTGATCCGCTAGATTCTTCCTGAAATCATGTTCAATGAAGCTTATCTCCACTGCATTGGGGTTTGAAATGGAGGTTATCTTTCCAACAAGGAACGCAAGGCATACATGCAAAGTAAGTGAGCTTAAGTCTTGATACTGTAGAACTTCTTGCTTTAATTCATAAAGCTCACTTACTTTGCATGTATGACTTAATTGTCTTTGATTCAAGACTCTAAACCCATATTTAATAGAGCTTAATAACTCTAGATAAAATATCAGCACATTAACCATCACAAAAATTTTTTCTTACCAATATTGAATGACAAAAAGAAAAAGCATTTTGAGATATCATGCATAAAAGAAACAACAAATCAATAAAAATGATAGAAGAGAAATTATGATTAAACTTACAGTGTTAAGTTGTCCAAAGAAATTAAAAGGTCTACGAGGTCCAGGGTCTGGACAAGCATCAACGCCTATAAACCTGTATTTACCATAATTTTTGTTATGGGTATAGGAATAGGACATTTTAGAATGTTTGCCCTGCTTAGAGTACTCCCTGAAAAAAGGTTAAATATACAAAAAACATGTAACATGGCTAACTTTCTTTTAACACAAACACCCCAAGAATAATGAAAGATTATCATAAATCAAAAGGTTGAAACTTGGTTAATTTATACTTCTGTGTTCAGTTTAAGGTAAAAGTGAGGGAATACTAGAGAGTATATGATGTAAAGTCACCAAAAAATCATTGGACTAACAGTTCAATCAACATCCATTTGAGATCAGTTCAAGATTAATCAGACAGGACAATAGCTAAACACTAATTAGACCAGTCCAAGTCCATTAAATTATGTTTTGCTTAAAGAAAGAGAAAAGTGGTTTATTTGGGCAGTTTTAACTGGACAAAGTTTAGTACAAAATGAATTTTACCACAAATACAAGTTGTTATATCTCTCAAAATGTATTGATAATTTCATTATCAAAAATCTTTCATTATACTACACTTACCTATAATAATTATGTGGGTGCTCCAAATCAGGAACATCAAAAGCATCTGGAATGAAGAAGTAAAGTTCACTCAGTTTAATAAGAAACTGACTTCATTTTTTTAAGAAATATGATAGTTAGAAGGGGTAAGATGTATTGAGTAATTGAGTAAAGTTCAAAAGTTGTCATGTGACAATACATACTTTGTCTTTTTTAATTCACATTTCGTAAGGATAGTATTTGACAACAGTTTGTCACAAGTTTTACCACAAGGATTGTACCAGGATTTTTTAAAAGTCTAAAAATGACTATAATTGAGATTATATGTGACTTTATTCTTACCATGATTGCCTCTGATATCCAGCCATTTTGTTGGTTTCAAGAATTCCTCACACAGTTCAACCACCTCTTTATATGCTGTCCATTCTTCAGCAAATTGAGTTGATGATACATGATCAGGGTATTTAGCATCAACCAAATCACCTATGGAAAAAAGTAAATTACTCTATTCTAAAATTTCTCAAAATTTTGTAAGCAAAATTGCAGTTTATAATATTAAAGGGATACTACATCTTAGAATACACTCGGCCTATGGCTAATATGTGTGTTTAATAGTGACCATTGGTTAAATAAGTATGCATCCCACACTTTACCAAGTTTGAAAAAGAGACAATAAAACTATAATCAAAATTTTTTGTAAAAAGTGAGCAAGCGACAAGCCGTTCAGTTTGAGACTAAAAGAGTCTGGGTAATCAACGCTAAAACAGGAAACAATCATCTTCCGGTGTATACAAACAAACATTGCCAATGATTAATATTCGTTGAAAATTGTATCAGTGGTGGAGTATTCATTCTAAATTATATGAATTGCTTTTTCCGCGGAGTCGCTTAATCTCCTACGAGGCATTATTATTCTGTCTTCAAAATATGTCTGACAATGTCGAGGTCAAATCAAGAGTAGAGGTCAAGGACGCGGGAAACCCCACTTGAGAATTACTTCCCCTTGAAAATTACACCGGATTATCTAGACTCACGATTTGAAAATCGCTTAATGGATGTATTAAGCGTTTTATAATTAATTACTTGATTTTGTGGATATATCGGATTATAGAGGGATTTTGATGTATAGTTAGGACACCAGGTAAGTCTGCTGATGGATATATACTGTTATTGGGCAAATTTGAGCAAAATTAAAATTTTATGTTCATCCTAAGACGTAGTATCCCTTTAATTTACACAATTGCAACAGATTACATTTATGGAGTACAATAGAAGATTTACTGAGATTCTTATTTTTTAAATGAAAAAGCTTTCTTGTTTCTACATGGGTGTTTGTCTGTTCTGTTATTTTCGGGCATAAGCATAAATTAATGTTCTTGTAGGTACATAATCTTGTAGCAATTGGTTTTTTTTTGCCTGATCTAGTAACTGGCTTACCTGATGTAATGACGATTTCTGGCTTTATAACACTTAAATGTGTTTTACATAAATGAACTAAATCAGGTCCTCTCTTCAAATCTTTATATTTACTGATGTGGAGATCAGAAATCTGAAAATAACAATTAACAAACAAATTACTATCAGCTGGTTCATAGATAATGACACAAAGCTCGTCTGAATTAATGATCTAGGCCTTATAAATTGTTTTAGTTCAATATCTGCTAAATGTTTCCCTGTCCTGTTGGCAACACTATCCCAACTTTCTGTGTTGTTTTGTAACACACAAGATAAAGTAAACCAAAAGCCCTAATAACTGATCAGACATTGTAGTAATGACTTTATCATTTTGATTCAACCATGCAAAGATACCGTTGGTAGATTTTAGCATTGAAATTTTACCTGAACAAACCAGAACAGATTCTCCAGTTTGTCATTCAGACTGTGTCCAGTTTTATCAGGGTCAAATTGATACGGCGGTGTGTTGTCATCTGAATCGTATTCTTTGTCGGGGTTCAAAGAATCATAAAGTAATGAGAAAATCAAACCCAAAATAATCAAAATGCCGATTAAAAAACTGAACAACTTCATCCTGGACATAGAAATGGGAGTTCTGACGAAATTTTGCGTTGATCTTGCGTGTCATTTCTATCTAATTATAGGAATAATCATATTTTGCATTGTTTTGAGCTGTCTGCTAAATTTTTTGTCTGGAAATGAAGAGTAATTAAAGGGGAATAACTCTTAAAATTGACCGACATTTTTTCAGGAACGCAGCATACCGGTACATAGATGTTTATCACTCTAAATATTCTGTTATTTCTTTTAAGCAATTTAGCAAATTTCTGACTACCTGTATCTATGTTCGAAATTGAAATTCAAGGTGGACGTTGATTACAATTAAATATAATTCGAACAGAATTCTATCTCGATCTGTGTTTAGTAGACGAGTTAAGCCCTATACCATAGGCAACTAGACTACATTTTATTGGTCGCTTACATATGGTTCTGGACCAATAATATACATCGAAACATAATTGCCTACTTTACGGGCCTATTTCACAAATCGTTATATGGTTTTCATTTTTAATCCCTACCCCGAACTTCTTTTAATATCCCATTGATCAAAATGCTATAAAAATTTGACATGTCCGGACAGTGACATGTCATTTAATGACCATTTGGACAAGACAAGAAATACCAATGAATTGACCAACAATCGAAACTGTAGAGTCGTTGATTTCCGAAAGTGGTCTCTACAAAAGTAAGACCCGATAGTCTACCCTATTCTGAATCCACTAAGTTAAAAAATATCACCACAGAAAGAAATATCGTAAGCCTTAAAATATCATTTTCGATTATGAAGCCTTAAATTTAAGCTCCTTGGTTGTGAAGCGAACTCACCATATGCCTTATATAGCGTATAATGGTAATTACATTTCTACTGTAGTAGGCCCTCGCTAATTTGACTGGAACAAGTGTTGAGGGTAGGAAGACGTTGCAGATAAAAAAAATATATATATTTGCCTGTCTAGTTAGATCATATCAAGTAAAATGTAAAAAAAATTGTCACGTGATAGTGAAATTCTTAACAATTAAGTGTGGTATAGAAAAAGTGGATTATATAGGTTCTAAACAGGCCTTTAGAAAGAAGCCAAGTTATCTACAAAGAAAGATTTTTAGAGAAAAATTGTAGAATATATTAACCATACAATTGAAATCAATTTAGATGTCGACTGGTCTACTGGAATGAATTGACCTTATTTCTTACCTCTTAGCTTACCTGAAGTAATGAACCTCCCTGGAGACCTATTTTATTTCAACTTTATAAAAACATTTTTAAAGGGACATAGTTGCCTAAGCATGTGTAACAGTGGATTGTTTAGATAGGCCTACATAAGAATCCCCTCCGAATAGGGATACCGACAGTCGATATTTAGTTCTTTGGGCGACATATAGGCCTACCTTAAATATCCTGTGAAACTTTTTAGAATGGGCTATGCAGAATAGGCCTACTTGATAATAGTGACACCACACAGCACTAAAGTATAACAGCATTTTATCGGGTTCGATTGTTTTTTAAGGCAGTATGTCGAGATTTTGATGTCATAGGCCTAGTCATTTCTAGGTTTAACGCTTTGTTTTGTTTACAGAAAATTCACGGTTTTATTTTTCCAATTTTTTTGACATATTTCTAAAACGTTTGAAATCCGTTTTCAATCACTACACGAACGTTTGGGAATTTGGAATACTGACGTAAGTAATGGCAGCCTCGAGGTATCATTGATACAGAACATGTAAAACAACAAAATTCAAACACCTGCCAAAGAAAACGGTCAGTTTAATTATTCACTGAAACTCTATGTCACTATGTTCTTTGCAACGATATAGGATTTCTCCATGGTGTATAATATCACTATTCCTTCCAGAAACATGAAAAAAGTTTATGTCCATGTCTATATGTTCAATTTGATGCATAGGATTGAAAGTTCCGCTAGCTCTTTCTAAGAGTAGGGTACGTAAACTGACAAAAGTTTACCAGATTGGTAAAGATTTCGCGGAGGTAACAATTAAGAATTATTTAGTTTGCACTTTGGAAATGATTATATAATATATGGACCTGTCGATCCATTTATAGGTGTGGCTGAAACGTAAGGACAGCGTGTCATTTCACACAAACCGTCACAAACTTGTTCCTGATGTTGATATTCATAAAACATCTTATAAACACATAAATCATGGGGAAATGTAAATAAATACAAAATAAGAGACATTCCTAACGAGCAGAAATTGGTATAAATTTCAGAGAATCTTTCCAGAAATTCAGAAATTATCAGGTATCTATATAGACATTAATATATCTATTCGGTTGGAAAAGTAAGTATACGAAATTTTATTCACTAGGTTTTAATCTACATCAAGAGGCGATTAGACTGAATTGAATTTTACTCATTTTCACTTCCAATCTAATTAAAACCAGATTACAATTGTCTATCTCTTTTGGTTTCTGAATGTAGCTTGAAAATATCCGAAAACAAAAAAGATGCGAAATTGTAATTTAATTTTAATTAGATTGATTCACTTCAAGGCACGACATAAACATTCTAGATGATGTTATCGCAACTTGGTAAATAAATAATTAAAAAAATCTTAGTGACCCAAAATGTATTTTTCTGGCTTTAAAGAACAGAATCAAGTTTTACCAGGTGTAAAATTCAGGATAAGTCAAGATCACCATTATGCTCATGTTTTCATTGAAACGATTTTTGTTTCAGTAATCCTAAACTACAAACAGAAGAATGGGTGTTTTAAGACGTTCGCTTGTTTTATTGTTGGTATTAACGACGGTTATCTGCATCTCAGAAGCTTGTAAGTACACAATTATATTCTATAATTCTCCAAAATCAATGTTATCGATCAATGATCGGTTGATTCTGGTGCAATCACGACTGCAACAAATCAAAATCTGGTAAAGTGTGAACTACGAACAAAAAACAACAACAGGTGTCTCTGATAGGGGCCTACAAATAGATCTAAAATCTATTTAGAATCCATTTAAAAACCTTTGATACTCTGTCTATGCTTAACGCTTTAAAAATGTACACTGTCTTAATCACACATTCTGAAATTTTGACTTTTCTTCTTCTTCAGCGGTTCCTGACTGGTATAACCAATATCTTATGCAACAATATTATCTCCGACTCTTCAATCGGGGCAGTGCTAACGCGGGACAAACCGAGGGACAAACGGGACAGAATGCAGGAGCTAACCAATTCAACCCACTCTATAATCCAATATTTAACGCATTTTACGATCCATTCGATCTTTACTAGCGATAATATAATATAAGATTTGTTGTTCTCGACGTAGGCTATACGTATCTTAATTAAACGACGCATAAAAACAATAGGCCTACTACAATAGGACACTGTTAAAATTTAGTGCAATTTCATGACTTAATCATCAGTCTGATCTTACCCCGACATCCGGAATTCATCTTTTTTTTCATATCAATTGTATACCTCCCTTTTATATGACATTTATTTATGATTTTTGATATTTTTATATTCTTTTGTAGTAAAATATTGTCTTTTCTTATCAATGGAGATTAAACTTTTCAGAAAGACAAATTTTGTACTGAATCCCAAGATTTAATTGGATTATTATTATCAGTGTTCAAATGCTTGCAAGATGCTGGAGCAATATTCAATTCAACGTGTGAAGTCTGTCTATTGACACAAGGTTTGAAAACTACTATTAATGGGGTATTACCTATTACCTATAGTCTAACTTTCAGCTTTGCCGCCAGATAAAGCTCAATTCCAGCTATCCGAATAGAATTTTCATCTCATGTCGGCTCTCCAAAATGCAGCAAAACACCCCTCTGAGTGTTGTCCAGTCATTTCCAGTCAAGATGGTTTCTAGTAAAGCTCCTTGCTTCCAGTCCGTTTTTAACAATCTCACGGGCAGTGATGTCCGATGACGTCAGGATATCGGCAATATATAACACAATTGCATTTGGAAATCTGTTAAACGCCCTTTATAGAAGTCACAATTCTGCAGGAATACCTGATTCTGTATTAGGGATGGCTAATGACAGTATCCCTTTAACTGAAGTCCACATTAAAAGTTAATTGGCAAGGCGGAACTAACAATAACAATCTTAGTAGTTGTGATATTTACAATTTGCAGTGCAAGACATTTATACCAAGACAAATTTAACCAACACATAACTGACATTTAACCGATATAAAATCAACGCAAGTACCATCAACTAAACTGTCATTTTCACCTTGACATAGAACTGAAAAGGTATCTCTGGTGCGATGCAGTTTAAGACCTACAAGACATGATGCCTCTTAAAGATCTCCACTACACCAGTGGCGGAGCCAGGTTTACGTCCGAGGGGTGGGAGGGGGGGGGGATATCTGAGATTACCCGAATTTCTAAATAGTTATGAGATTTTTGCCCGAAAAACTTGCTTTCGAGGCTGCGAGGGGGAGGGGGGGGGGGAGGGTGCTGACCCCTCTGCATGAGTCGATCTATATTTCAAAAGTATATCTAAGATATAGAATGTTATATATACAGCTTGGGGCAGTTTTAATTTTTACGATATAGCTGAAATGAAGTTCTAATACATGTATAGCCTATGTATGTGAACAATATTCCTATAGTTAGGCAGCTCACTATTGTATTCTACACCTTCTATCTTCAGCATAGGTATATTATAGGTGTAATCAAACAGGTTTTTCAATATATTTACCGTAATTTTCTGTAACTGTCACCAAATAAAAAGCACACGAAACAGAAAGGAAGAAATAAACGACAATCTTATTTTTTTTTATAACATTTGATGACATTTACATGTTTCTAAACCAGTTTAGGCACAGAACTCGTATTTTAATTTTGTCCTAGATAACATGGAATAAGACTACATTATATGAAGGCTGGTTACGGCCATTTACTTCTTTCGACATCCCTTATTCGTTAAAGATAGTAGAGGAATACCTTAGAATGAGGGAGAGGGGGATAATGCCGGAAAAGTTTTCTGTCTGAAAATATTTTCTGAACCATTGCTATTCTAGCCTTCTCTCATAACTGCACTTTCTCATGGACACGCCTCCATAATGAACATCCTGTTGTGAGTATTTTCACTCGATGTATGGCGAATAACGGTGTCAAATACTCAGTATTTAATAAAGTAAAATGACATTTTGAATTGACAGATTGAATACAGAGTTCGACCACACCACACTAAAATAAGTACATAGATATATAACAAATTACATTTATTACATTTCAAAAAGCAATACTCGCTAAAATGTTAAATGTTGGGTGAATCATCGCTTTTTTTTAATTACAAATATCGTTACACCAACATTACACCAATTTATTCATTTAACGATAATTACCTTACGGATATCATATGCTATAAACCAATTAAGATTCGTGGAAAATACTGGATAAAAAATGCTCAAATTCCAAAATCAGCGTCCATATCTACCGCCCATATCCAAACCACCGTTCATATTTAATGCACCACCCATGCCCATACCACCGCCCATACCACCACCCATGCCCATACCACCTCCCATGCCCATACCACCACCCATGCCCATACCACCTCCCAAGTCCATACCACCACCCATGCCCATACCACCTCCCAAGTCCATACCACCACTGACGCCCATATCACCAACAATGTACATACCTGGTCCAAAGTCCATACCACCACCCAAGTCCATACTACCACCCATGTCCAAACCACCACCCAAATCAATACCACCTCCCAAGTCCATACTACCACCCATGTCCAAACCTCCACCCAAATCAATACCACCTCCCAAGTCCATACCGCCTCCGACGTTCAAACCTCCACCAAGATCAATTCCACCTCCTATGCCCATACCACCACCAAAGTCCATACCGCCTCCAAAGTCCATACCATCTCCTAGGTCAACACCACCACCCAAGTCCAAACCTCCACCAAGATCAATGCCACCATCCAATTCTAAACCTCCACCCACATCAATTACACCTCCTATGTCCATACCACCACCAAAGTCCATACCGCCTCCAAAGTCCATACCATCTCCTAGGTCAACACCACCACCCAAGTCCAAATCTCCACCAAGATCAATACCAACATCCACTTCCAAGTCCACATCCGAGTCCTCGACCTCACTCTCTGAAGAAGTTGAATCGTTTTCATCACTGTCATCATCAAGAACTTCTTCGCTTAAATCATCTACTTCTTCACTTTGATCCGAGATATATTCTGCGGCAGCCTCGGCGGCATTCTCTAAAGCCTCAGCCTTCTTTTCCATGGCATCAGCAAACACGTCATAGACGCCATCGGAATCATCCAAGTTTTCTACAGGATTTTCCGAGTCATCCTCCGCAAAAACGTCGTATATTCCTTCAACTTCGTCATCGCCATTTTGTACCGCGCCTGACACTGTTTCAATGACATCTTTTATAGCATCTGCCCGATTTTCAACTGCGTTTTCGACTGCATCTATTACTTCAGCGGGGGAAGAAAACTCAATCGTGTTGAGCTGATTTAAAAATCCATCTCCCCTAAGGCCACCAGCCATTAAAGAATACAAAAGCGACGGGTCGATAGTATTTTTAAAGGATCTAACTGGCTGGGGCGTTGGCTGATAAAAAGTTGGAAGATTAGTTCCAATGTTTGCAGAGTTGATTCCTAGTGTTGAAGGTACGGCTACATTGGTTCTCATGTTCAAAGGTGGAGCTACCGCCGTTCTTCCAGTGTAAGATGAGCCCACTACTGCCGGATTTCCTGCAGTGTGTTGAATTTGACTGACGACGAAGAATGGCGCAGCGTCACCATCTGAAATAGAATAAATTGAAAGCCATGGTAAAACAGTTTTGGGTTACGGTGGCTCATTTAGGACATAATTAGTTTTGGGTAACGGTGGCTCATTTAGGACATCATCATAAAAGTAATACATAGTAAATCTTTAATAATTATCAATAATTAAATAAATAATTTTTTCATGAAAAAAAAAACAGAATTGGAGTCCATCAAAACACAAACTGTTAGAATCCATAGGCAGTACGATAGCTTTTTTAAAATTATGAGAATTTTGATTGATTTTGTGTGAAGAGATGTAAACAAAGTGAAACAGTACCTATATGTACTCCATCAGAAGGAATCACTAAGGTGGCCAGTGACAGACAGACAACCAATAAACCAAAATTTTTCATTTCCTGAAATAAATGGAAACAAAATTTCTGCAGCATCACAATTATTTCCTAATAGGCTAGATGGCATCGACGCAGCTATTCTTATTCAAGATGGCTTTTCAGATTATAGCACTTTCTAAGTTTACGATTGTGTTTATTGCACTGATACGAAAAACCTTAATTCGATTATTGATTGAACCTGAAATTGTCTCCAGTTTCAACTTTTGAATAGGATAGGACATATATATAACGATAAAAATCTGGAAAATCACACCATAAAAAGTTAAATAGAATTTGACCAATTAGTCAAAACAGAAAAAAATGCAGAGAAAAAAAAAACAGATTTACCAAAAAAAAATGTTTACTTACGATCAATTTAATGCGTTTGCAAGATCTGGATTCAAAACTTGAGAGTGAGAGAAATAACTACAGAAACTGCAGGTTATATGATGTTTTGGTGGTTCTTTGGGCTCAACTGTTCGAAAAACTCGTTATTTCAACATTAACTGCTATCATTTCAAGTCTTTTAACATATTTTGAAATATGACTGACATTTTTAGGATTGGAAAATTGAAAAATTAAAATCCTTATAAAAATTGACAATTATTGTGACTTCATGAACACAATAGAGGTATTTGCTACACGGCATTAGTGAGGATATTGTTTGGATTTATTTTATGATATCAGCAAATTCATTCGTTAAATATTAAAAGACAGCTTGCATACCAAGTTTCGTTAAGATCAGTTAATAATTGTAAGCTCTACAAGAAATGTGGACGGACCGACGGGCAGATGCGATGGCAATATACGCCCACATTTCGATGTAGGCGTATAAAAACAATTCTGTCATATAATATGACATGATATTAAACACTCATAAATTTGTATATTTACGACAGTCATTTCTGAAGTCAAATGAATGAATTTCCCCAAGGGATGTAGGCCTGGTGCTCTAAATATTCCAATCTGATCAAAATGCAGTCCGAAACATCTACCTATGATAAAAATAGCTATCAGAGGATGGAATAAGGGCAAATTTTTCGGTTTAATTAAATGAAGAATTGGATGTTTCCTTAAGTGTTTTTTTCTGCAGGTTATTACGCTTACCATCCATGATCTCAGGAGTTTCGTCTGTGTTGGGGGAGCCGCGGTGGCTCAGTGAGTTGGACGCTTGCTCGCTAACCTGAAGGTCCAGGGTTCAATTCCGGCATAGTCCGAGATAATACCTTCGGATTTTTCAACCCGGTTTCCCCCTGTCAGTGATGCAGGTAAGAGGGGCTGACATGGAAAGAGCGTCTAGTCGTTCGGATTGGACAATAAACCGAAGCCCTTTATGCTACAGGGCGTGCACGTTAAAGATCCCTCGATCCCTCGCAAAATTCCCTCATTGCACCCTGCATGGCGCTGTCCGTCTTCATTAGCCTACATGGTGCAGAAAAGTAGGACGTAAAACTCCATTCATTTCATTTTTACTCAATATAGCATTAAAAGTTGCCATAATAACATATGCTATCCAATCAGTAACCTATTCAAAACGATAAAAGTCAAAATTTAACAATAAATTTCCCAGAATGCCTCACAAATAGTACAAGGAAATCTTTTTTGAACAGAACATTTGATTGGCTGAATATTAAATGACCTTACAAAAAACTTCATGAATTCATGAAGTTAGTTTAGAATAGGCCATGTCGCTACAAAATCCTTGTACGAAAGGTGAACAGTCTATTACCTTGACTTCATAGTGTCTTTTCTTGTAATGGAAAATTGTGAATGTAGTGATTTGATTGGATTGTAAGTTACCGCATGCAGCCAATCAGAGCCTTCGACAGAAATTCTGCCAACAATAAGCCAAAGTTTTTAAAGTCTTAATGTCAAGTACTCTGATTGGCATTATTCATTGATACAAGAAATATAACTATTGCAGTCAAGATTTAAGACGAAGTTCGTAGGCGACAAAAGACAACAATCAATATACCGTTTACTTCTCTGAATTACTTCTCTCCATAATTTTAAGTCCGAAACATCTGCCTCTATTCCAGCCTTTGATGGATATTTGGATAGTTGTCAGAAGAAAAAGACCCTGATAAATGGGGATTTTCCACACCTCCAAGGATGCGTTTTCTCTAACATAATATTGAATTACCTTTAAGAGGATTGTAAATTAGTGTTGGGCGTCACCGTAACTTTCGTTTTGTTAGTATCACGTGACTCTGTGACCTTTGACTGCGCACACAGTTTTAAATGGCCGATGCTAGATCAGTTTCGCAAAAAAAAAATTTGAACGAACCGGAGACATGACATAAATGGTGTAGGGAGAAAATGATGGTATATCTGTCCATATAGCTACCAGTGGCTGGAATAGAGACAGATGTTTCGGTCTACATAATTTTGAGCTAAACGCTAATTTAAATGTCATTCTTGATCTCACCAATAGTAAACTTTGTATATTCATTTATTCACTTTATATATTTATTATTTGTCAAAAATATTTAAAATTTGCTCTTAAATAAAAATGGCAATTTGGAATGTCAACCATCGGGCCTTTGTGACACTGATAGCCATGGGCGTGACGCAAGACATT